GGAAACACTGGACATCCTACACGTGATTGTGGCCACTAGTACTGTATCGTTTCTCCACTGTTTCTTTGACAATGCCATAATACCTACAATATTTCAGAGATTGATTAATTTTTTTTATAATAAGAAAGACCTAAAACTTGATTTTTTTTATGAGATTATATGTACAAATAAAAATTGTATTAATTCCATGAAGCATTATTCAATTTTTATGAGAAATATCCATAAAAGGTAAGCAAACTAAAATGTTCAAAAACAACGTTTTGTATACCGGCACTTTACTTAGCTAGAACTCTGTTCAACTTTTTCTTCTTATTTCATCATATCACTTCATTATTATTAATTTGTTGTGGTGAGGTTACAAGGTTTTCATGAAATATATTCATGAGAAAAATAATTTACTAATAAGCCAATCAAGCAATTAAAGAGCTAGGCCCGAAATAATAAGATTGCTGAGATGAACTATTTCCCATCATATTGTCCTCGCGTACAGAGGAAATCAGTACCAACACTCAAATTCAATATTCCTTCCCCTAAAATCCAAATCACCCGTGCAATTGAGGAAAAAATCAACAATGAAAATAAAAGAATTTCGTTGCTTTATTAGAGTCCTTAATCACATTTGCATCACCAACTACATATTTATTCACGAAATCATCATGTTTCAGAGATCATTTTGCTGTCTTTTTGGTCTCTTCATGTAGTAACACTGATGTAAATGGTTGAGCAACTAGCTCGCCAGAGGCCATCCGTTTGTGTTTTGTTCCATCCACAAATGCATGCATGCACCAGTACCACTGCTATATTAGATCCAATGAAAAATCATTTAAGTTTTGACCACCAATTAGTAAGTTGTTGGGCTAGGTACATATTTATGGCAACAAATGAACTTATAGTTCATATTTGATTTTCATTTCATTATTTCACCACTTCCAATAAATCAATGTAAATCCAATGATTAACTAAAATTCCACTTAATTAACTCAACTTTTATAACTTAGACTCGAGTAGTAATTAATCAGAGTAGAAGTTTGAATTAATGAAGACAGTGAAAATAAGTCACTTCCCATTTTTACTTTCAATAAAGGATTGTAACATAATAATTAAGTTGGCTTTGGGGTACTTTTCTTGCTAGCCCCGCACACATAACACAGCTACGCTAGCTTAGTTCACTTTATGTTTCGTTTCCCAATCACACAATCGATTGAAATTCTCATACGCAAATACTACAAGTTATCACTTAATTATTTAATTTTGGGAAATTTGTATCCGCATGGTGATAATGTTAAAGTAATACTAATTCATGAGCTTCATAATTATTGGTCGGATGGCAAAGCTAGCTTACACGCAAACATAATGCAACAATTGCACCAATTTTTATTATTTCCTAAAACATAAAGACAGTAATAGTTGATACATACTGCCTAACTAAAAGCAAATTAAAATCATAAAAGCAATAAATGAATGGTGAGGACTGAGGAACAATCTCCCTTTCGTAAAGACTTTAAAAATCTCGCAGTACAATAAAAGAAGAAAATATGGTCCTTGATGGTCGTCTATAACATCAAAGGCTCGCAAATACTGATCATCCTGATCCAAGAAGAAAAGAAACTTACTTTTGCATGGAAAGTCAGTAAACTCCGCGTTGATGAAGTCACGTTTTCCCTCCCAATCATGCGTCTTAGAGCTTTTTTTACGGCTTCAGGGGGTTAAGAATTGATGGATCGTAAGGGTGCGTGCTATGGAGAAAGCCACCCCTCAATTATTTTCCCCATTTTCGCCTCTCGCTTTCTATATTAACACGCCATCTTTTCAACGAAGGTGGCCTTTGAGACTTGGGTTGTACCACGTGCTTTCTATATTCGTTTTGATCGTGCACTCTCAATAATGGAAGCACCCTTTTCATTCTTCTTTTTTTTTGAAGATTAAATAGTAGCCTTTCATTGCAAAAGAAGGGGAAGACCCCATGTACACAAAAGAAAGGGACCTGGCTGGGCCGGTGTTATACCAGGTTGTAAGACGTGAGCTTGGCTTATAAAAACATAGCCAGCTGATCAGCCTATAAACTATACATGAAAACATCCATTTACAAAATCGGTGAGAGAATCTATTGTACCCCAAAACAACAAGAAAAACATACAGGGGTGTGCAAGCAAAGGGGACAAGCCGTTCTGAAAGTTCCTTTTGCTTGCAGATCCTTCATTGATGAGAAGTTTGCCATAGTGGACAGTCCTCCTTTTAATGAACCTGCAACAACTTCCCATTGAAAAACCAGAAGCAACGAAACCAACCAGCAAACAAGGAAGATCACTCAAACATTAAAAGGAAAAGTTGGAGCAGTTCAAGTGGCCTATCAACAGGGGCAGAGCTAGAACAATTTTAAAGTGGGGCTAACTAGCCAAAGACACTTAATAATTAAAGAGAACTTTATATACAATTTAATTCTCAATCATAGAAAAGATTAAATAAAATCATAAGACATTAAATATATAAAAAAATACATATTAACAGTAATAATGATGTCATATATATATATATATATAATCGAACAAAATTATAGAAAGAGTCTCTCTTACTCTATGCGCTAAAAGTGAAAAAGAAAATAATTTTTCAAACTTAAATAAATTATCTTTTTACTTTGTGTGTTCTGCATGAAATGTATAACTCTTTGAGAAAACTCTTCTCTTATTCGCTATATGTTTCTTGAATTGTTAATTAACATATTGGGTTATTGGGTTGAATTGTTGATATATAATATAATATGATAAGTTATTAAGTTTAACTGTTAAGATATAATATGTTATAATAGGTTCAAATACAGATTAAGACTTAATAAGTTTAGGTTAGTATACTCATTTTTATTTTTTTAAATTTGCTAGACTTAGCATATTGAGTTAGAATTTATATGATAGCTAGCAATATACTGATTGACTCTAATTTCATCAAATGATTGTTGGAGGAATACATAGTAAATAAAAAAATTTAAAAGTTTTAGAGGAATGTAGTCTCATGATAAGATCATTTTATTATTTTTTATTTGTATTAATTATTTAATAAAAATTATTTTTAAAAAATCATTAAAAATATATAATATATACAAATTTTTAAAAATTTTGAAGGGGTCCAACTATGAGACACTTCGCCCCTGCCTATCAACCGCTAATTTCGCAAGGTTGTTAGCAAACATCATTTCTTGATCTATGGAATGTGTTTGATATACCAACCTATAACTCTTTTTTTATGCGAGTAGATCTGTGAGATAAGTTGTATCATTTTATTCCTCCACGGTTCAATTATAAGTGTGTATGTAATTATTTTATTTAAAAAATTGAGATCAAATTCTATTCTTTTAAATAAAAATAAATAAGTTTTTTTAATGTATATATTTATTGTTGCACAAATATATTTCTTTTTTATTTATTTTTAAATAATAAATTATATATAGAAAATAGATAGGTTTCTAAAGTTTAAAGTTAATTACTATAAATTAAGGGAAATTATATTTGAAATATAATTATGCATACAAAATTAATTTTCAATTATTTATGACGGAAATTTTTTAATATAAATCTATAAATTATTCAATATTATTAAAACATCGAAAAATATTTTTAACAAAAATCATTCAATGCAATTAGAAATTTTATTTATAAATTAGATAAATCATATTAATATTTATATTAAAAATACTTTAAATGAAATTCATTTGATAGATTTTTATATATTTCAAATTAGATATATTTTGTTAAAATTAATAATAAAAAATTTAAATAATAATTTAAAAACATGATGAATATAACCATTTTTATTAATTAAATTTTTTTCAACTTCAGTATTTTTATATAAATTATTATAAATATAGATATGTGAGATACGTATGTATAAATTATACTTGTACTCGTTTTAGGTATATATGGTGTTCAATGCTTCAAACCTATAAAAAAGACGTTGTCTTCGTTTGGGCTTTCCTTCGGATGGTATGCCGTCAGGGTCATTATCAGATTAACTTAAAGCAGGGCCCAAATTCTCTCTGTTCGAATTAGGATATTCTTCTGAAGCCTACCTGGCCCAGAGGCTAAGCTAATGCCAACGGCCTACGCCGGTCTTCAATTAAAACAAATTTTGTTTTGTTTTGAAGACTGAAGAGTAAGCATGAATGGGGTCAGATGAGGGCTTTTTTCTATTATTATTTTTGGATGATTGAGATATAATGGAGGGTAATAACTAGTCGGAAAATGGAAAGAAGTTTATTAGCAAAAAAGATTAAGGTAATGTCATTATGTCGATAGGGTTTCTTTCTATTTTATTAAAGAGAAATTCTCATTCTAGAATGCATGTTTATAAGTTTCAATAGCAACGCATTTACTTGCAATATGACTAATTAGAATGCATGTATTTGATAATTATAAAATCTTATAGTTCTTAATTGGGATGTATGTACGTATTTGATGATTATAAAAGATTAAATTTTCAATACTTTTTTCCATTTGAGTTCAATACATGGCTGATCAGTTTATAAATGGGTTTAGCTTGCAAGTGGCCAGGGAAGTTTGTCGGTTTTGACACAAATTTTAAATTAAGCACGGGCGAAGCACTGTGGTTTTGACATATTTTAGGGCTCTATGAGGCTGAGCCATGGAGGATAGGCCAAAGAAGACAACAGAATCATCTTTTTGGGCGGCCATGAATGATGACATGACATCTTGACTAAAAACGAGTTTTTTAGGATCCCTAGCACCACCAACACCTTTAAGCCTCCATTAATTTGCAGTTGAACTTTGAATACATGTGCTATACCAAGCATAAGTCAATATACTTAATTTCATATGATAAAAAAATCAATCACAAACATTATGGAATTAATCAGGAAAATTAATGACCAGTTTCTTATCAGCTATTTAAACTTGTCATGACTCACTTCATCAGTGTGGTTTGGGAAAGGCCAAAGATCTGAGTATATGATCACACACAAACATGGCACTAGTTAGTAGGCATTTTAGACTTCCAGGATGAAAAAAACCACACCATTAGATATTAATTCTACATTCTACAACAAAGAAGAAACATCAAATATTAGGAAGCAAATATTCTACACTGATAATTAGTCACCATCTATCTTCAGCACATTTCCCCAAGGATCCTTTCCAACTACTAGAAACACTCCATTGATCAGAATTAGCTACCGATGAGACCCCATTCCCACACTTAGCCACCGTCCTCACGCTCTCTATCAACGCCTCCGTTCGAGCCTCCTGCGCCAGGATGTCCGCCAACTGGTCTGGACTTATCACCAGCTTCACCTTCCACACTCCGCTGTTGTTATACCTCGGCAACACCTCCGCCTCGCTTCTCTTCAACACCCTCTGGTGATCAAACGACATGCGATAGGGAGTAGTGACAGATGAAGACGAAGAAGATATAATATTGTTACCGATCTTGCTGTCGTCGTCTTGATGGCTGTTAATGTTTTGATTGTTTTGTTTTGTGAAGCTGTTGTTGAGGGGGAGGAGATAGTAGAGCTCTCCTGCATGGAGCTCTTCGTTGTGGAGGAGAGGCTGAGAGAACAAGTCACGGGTGCGGTAAATGGCATGGCCAGGGAACTCGTTGGTTATGCACTCCGCGGTGATGGGTGCGAATAGCTCCATGATGCCGCCACTGGATGTTACCACTTTCACCATCTCTTCAACTTCTCCAAATCCTTTGAACACACAATTGCCCATATCAAGTCGTCAGTACTAAGCTCTTCCACAATAGTCTCCTCGTTGCTGTAGTTTTTTCTATGGAAATTTAGGGAGGGAAAGGCTGTGGTTTTGGGGCATGGAATCTTGAAAAAATTTTTGTGGTGAAATATAAGTGGAGAAAAGAAGAGGAAAGGGGTTTCTTGAGGGTTTCCTTTCGTCGGTGTGTAGCCGACACAAGTATCCTTTCCTTTGCCAACCCAAAATCTGTAATCTTGTGGCTTTTATAGGGGAATGGCCCACTTTTTTCTTTGCTTGTATAGTACGAGAAACATGCACCGTTGATATAGGCAAAGAAGCCAAAAAGCCCAAGGTAAGAAATCGGGTTTTGGATGGATTAGAATATATCTATTCTTTCTCCTTCCTCTTTTTCCTTTTTTTTTCTTTCATTTTTTAAAGGTACAGTAGTAAGTCAACGATTGGTCAGAATATATATGCGTTGAGATCATGATCGTCGAGGGATTCATGGTCAATTGCACCATCAAGTGTGTTCATTCCTTTTTACCGATTGCTTTTAACAAGTGGAGCCCAGTTATGGGCGACTCCGACGTGAAAAGAAGAGAAGGGTAGGATTGCTTAGCATGCGCAATACCAGCGCTATATATGTTCAAGGAGAAAAAATTAAGCCTGGTAGTGGTTTCATTTGCTTCCACTATGTAAAACATCGTTTGATGTCACCTGAGTGAGTTATTTTTCAATAAGCCTGGCAAAGTTTTTCTTAGACAGTACATATATAACGTGTTAAGTTTGGAGATGTTGAACCCCCAACAAAATATATTGGGTAGGTCAAGGAGGGGACCAGGAGATTCTGATCGATCTCAATGAAAACGAAAGCTGATCGGATAATCATAAGACTCCATTTCTAATTTAAAACTCCCAAGTTATTTAATGGCAAGGTCCATGAGCTGGGCAAATAAATCTTTGGAGCTCATTTCGCTTTTAATTTGCCAAACATAAGGGATAGATACCCCATGATCTCGACTTTCACCAGTTGGTCATGAGTAACCATTCACTGCATATTGCTATTTTAGGCCATGCAATATCGATCCTAGCTTGTAGATATTCTGTTCTCCAAGACAGGCAACCAGCTGAGGCTAGCCTAGAACTGGGTATCATGGATTCTATTGCTTAGATGAATCATTAAGGACAGAAACAGCAGAGCATTTTTACAACTTTCGACAGCTACTTAGCGGCGATACCACTCATTAAACTTTCACTCGAGATTTTCTTCATTGGTTACGATTGAATAGCCCTAAGCAGGGAGATTATTTACAATGGTTTAGGAATGTTTAAGGGCTCGGCAATGTGTAGGAAAGTCTGCAAGTTTTTACAAATTACAACAAAAACTTTCAAAAGTTTCTCTTTTTGGGGTACATACAACTTACAAAAGCTGAATTACCAGTTCATAATGAGACAAAAAGGAGAATGTTATCACCATCAGTAAAATCAGTGTCTAATAAGACATCATTTTCTAATTACAAAGACAGTGCTTTTTCGAGATTCAAGGAATGCGAATAGTGCTATGCTCTAAACTTGCGAAGGCAATTACACTAACCTACATTGGCTGGACCCATATGATGAAGAGAGCTTTAATTAAGTAGCTAAATTATCAGATTACTAACAAAAGCAGCTAGTTCATCAGCTTATATCTTCTCCAGCTATTATCCAGCTTGGTGAAAGGCATGGTTTTGAGGGATAATTCAATTATATAGAGTAATCTGCATTTAATAACTTGGGTGATGGTTGTATAATGATTAAGGATTGAGTGTGGGCAAAATGACTCAAATTTTGAAGCTAGGTAGAGATGATGATATTAGCACAGCTGCAGAGAGAATTTAACTTTAATCATATCGCCTTAACGGTTCAAACTTTCAACTGTCGGCATTAAAGTGACCAATTTTCACCACATTTAATTCACCTTTGGCACGTTGATTTGTCCTTTGCCATCACTGTCGGGTTCGATGCATGTTGGAGGCTGAGAATGGACTGTTGAGAATATCATTGCATGCTGGAAGGTCGACGCAGCATCTCTAGGATCTTTTTGGACTTCATTAATTCTTTCTAATTGACCACTGTCTCTTGTGTCTTTGTTCAGCACCTTCACCTAAGAACTAAATGGTCCAAATCCATACTTACTTTCTTCGGAACAAATATTGTCAATTTTTAGTCTCCAACCCACTAAAAATGTTGAAAATTCTTCCCTCAAAAACCCATTTAAATTAATTCATCGGGAAATCTTATTAAAAGCCCATTTGGTTCAATGAACACTGTGTTTTTGGTGAAGGACCAATTGAATTTGTAATATGAAGTTCATCTATTAGTTGAAACTTTTGAAAAAAAAAAAAAGCGTGAGTAGAATAGAATTATTTAAAGTAATTAACATATGTTTTATGCTATATGAAGTTCATCTCTAGGATCCTTTCAGGGTAATGATTTATATGGTGTTCGTTTTGGGTCTAGGATAACATTACTAGACTTGTCTGGTCCGGGGTGATGATCTGCATGTTTTTATCATCCTTTGAGATCAAATATAATAAAGTTGATGATTGGCTAAAAAAAATGTATGCCTATGTAAAAAGAGAAAAATTATTATCCAATTAAAAGATGCTACATTTTCGAAATTAGTAAATTAAAGAAATTTTTTAAAAGATGAATTATTTATTGTAATTTAATGACATCATTTAAGATAGTCATATAATTAATTATATAATAATTAATTTATTGACTAGTTATCTTAAGAACACATTAACTAGACCAATTAAATTTCCACTTGTGATAAGTTAGAGAAAATATCTAAATTGGATTAATTAAAATTTATTTATTGATCATTTAATTTATCTTTAAATCAATGAAGATAATTTAGAGATGATATTTATATTTGATTAATCAAAATTTACGATCATCCAATTTTTTTATAAATAAACTAAGATAATTTAGAGATAAGATTTAAATTCAACCAATCAAACTACAAAATTCAAAGTTTGACCATCAAGAGATTATCTATGAATTTTCATGATTTATCTCTAATTAGTTTAAAATAATTTAGAGGTAAAATAAAAAAGACTAAATCTTTAAAGCGTCTCATTTAGCACCATAAATACAGTGCTACTCCAAGCCATTTGGGAGACAATTGGGAAAGAAGAAATCCTCAAAAACTAATTCTCTCTAGAGTCGTCCCATAAGTGAGGAAGATTTGGAAGAACCTCCAACCCACACTCAAAGTTTAAGAACGAAGATCACCCACAAGCCTAAGAAGAAAGTCTCAAGTGAAGAAATTTTGAAAAAAAGTCTATATTAATCTCCATATTGTTCGTCTATTTAAGAATAAATCAATCAATGAGCCCTTTGAAGTTAAATTTGAAGAAATTAATCTAAAAGAATATCAGAGATTTCAGATTTCACGTCTAATAAATGATATGATATTTATTTTTGAATTTTCGATTTAATTTTTAGTGAGAAATTTCTGTTCATAAATTTTTGGTGCGCTTAGTGAGATGAACTCTGTCTCTCATCCCTTTTCTTCAAAACTCATATTCCAATTCATCCTTTTTCTTCAAAACTCAAATTCCCAAATTGGGTCAAAACTCAAATTCCCAAATTGCAATGGCTTGCCAACAAACTAACTCTCAAGCTTTCTTGAGTGAATCCTGAAGTTTTCCAAATTCATATGTTAGAAGAAGACAAAAGCTCTGTAAGATTTGGAAGAAAAGTTCTGCAAGATTTGCTCGAGTAGGCTTGAGAGTTAGTTGGTTGGCAAAGTTTGGGAGCTATTGCAATTTGGGAATTTGAGTTTTGAAGAAAAGAGATGAGAGGTAGAGATTTGTGTCAAAAATTTATATACACAAATTTCGTTTTGAAAATTAAATATGTTAAAAATTAGACTAGTTATTTATCAGATGTAGAATCTTTAATCTAGTTTACGTCAAGATCTCATGGACTTAATCTTGAACGAAATAAGATGGAGCCTAATATCAGAAAAATATTAAGTTATATCTATATTTTACATGGATGGAGCCTAATATTGATCAAGATTTAACAATTAATAGGATCAGCATAAACGTTACTCCTATTCATAATCGAAGATTTTGCTTTCATAATATATAGTATATAGTATTTTTGTCTACCATTCTAAGGAATACACATTTGGATTTACAATAAATAATGGTTGTTACATTACCTTTTAATTAACAACTAATGACTGCATGGTGTAAGAGTATTTATTGAATACTTTAAAAAATTACTGAACAATTTAAGAAAATTAAATAAGTTTTTATTTTTTTTATTTCATTCAATTAAGCTTCTAGGCTCTTATGATTAACCATTATTAGTTGAAATATTTTTTATTATTTTTTTATCTCCCGTGACATTAATATTATCATCACTATAAATGATATTTTAACTTATAACAATTAATCAACTTTTAATAATAATGATTTATTTGACTCAAAATAAAGTATATGAATTTGATTAAATACAATAGAAAAACAAGACCATCCTAAAAACTTTGTGACTCTTTGTTGCAACTCCTTATGCAGCATCTCCTTTAATTATTGATTTGATAGGCGCATAGTTCTCTCATGAGTTAACTCTATTGAACAATGACCATGGGATAAATAAAGCATTTTTAACGAGCTAGACTCTTTTACGTGTTAGATTAGGTACGGTTTCTTTCAAACATATTTTTGAGGAGAGCAATAGTTTTGTTAATTTTTTGATAAAGTATGGTGTTAATAAAAACACATCATTTTTTATCTGGTGGTGACTTCACTTTAGTGGTTGCCTTCACTTCAACCTCTACTGTTGTTATTTCTCTGTATTATGAACAATCACACTTAATTAGTTTTATTCATCTTCGTTTTGTTGCTGTTATGAGCTATCTTTCCTCTATTGAGCTACTCTTTGCTGCACTGTTTTTCAGTTCATTTTGTAGGCAGAGGCTGTCCTCTTGATTATTCTTTGGTTTATGTTCTTTGCAACGGATAATTTTTTTCATCTGTTGCTTGCAGTTGCTGTGCCTATGACCTTTACGCCCTCTTTTATACTTACTATTTAATTCTAATGAAACCTTTGATTGGTTTAGCAAAAAAAAAAAAAACCAAGGATTTATTTAAAAATTTTTTAATCGTTTAGAGATATTTTTAAATATTTTACCTAATTTTTATGAAAAGATAAATATAAGATATTTTGATTTTAATAATAATAAGTATATTTGTACCCAAAAAAAAATAATACCATCAATAAGCATATATTTTTTGATAACTTAATACAAAATACTACTAATAATACCAAAGCATGGTGAAGATCACAGAATTTTTAATCTTGAATAATCCCAAATTCATTAATTCTTTTTTGACCATGCGTGTCTCTCAATTCATTTGACTTGTTGTTCTCATATAATATTATTACTCAAACTCAAAACTCCTACTCAAATTTGTTCAGTTTTTACCGCTTGAGTTAAACTTCATATAACTATGGTATCAATTTTTAATTACTTGGGTGAATATTGAATTTGAATCAATTGATAACTAGTTTTTACTGTTTATAAGCATATGGATTGAGCCGTAGTATATAATCAGATTGCATTGTAATCCATAAATTTTTTAGACACTCTTTTGCATTGTGAAGGCATTTCTTCCTTTTTTTTTTTGTGTTTACTTCCCTTTCTCGATCAATCGTTTATTTTTTTTTAAAAAAAAACAGATGAACATTCACCCATAATTAACTTATATATAATTCAATGTGTATGAAAATCGAAAATTTTGTTCCTTTCTCTACATTTTTCTGCTTTGTCATCCCATATCGTACTCGAATTTGTTACAACAATCAAAACTTAATCCCATGTAAAATGTTTTTTTTTTTTTGAAACACGAGGAATGAAGAATTAGGTCGCATAAACCAAAATTATACACATGTAAACGGCAAGACATCTCTGATTAGATGCCGTTGAGGAAAAGTTACCTTGTCCTTTTGGAGATTCTTCAAAAACTATACAATATGAAAAAAAAGGAAAACCATCGAATGGACAAAAGATCAAAAAGCATTTTAATTCCTATAAAAAAATGTAATAAGAGATGATAATATAATTCTAATGCCACTCACATGCAATAACAAGCAAATTCCGAGATAAACCAATCAGGGGAACTTAGCACAAAGATACAAGAAGTAATGATATCATTGCATGACTTCTAAGTCTTATCTTAGCGGTTGCGTTTGGCTCCATTCGAATTGGTAAACGAGCATTCATACCCAAGCTTTTGTATTCATCTAAAATTCCCTATTCTTTGTCATTAAACTCGAATGAAACGTGAAAAAAAGTCATTTAAAGTAATCCGTTCATCTCCGCTTGGTGGTGGGGAGTGGGGACCAACTTTCTTTGCATGCTACGAGCTGTAATTGTATGAATTAATAGTAATTAATAGGGTCATTAATAATTAGCGTGAACTTTCAGCTTCTAAATAGAGACCAACGCATGCCACGTTTAAATTTCTAATCTATGTATGAAAAGGTATAGCCTGATGCCTGATACGCTAAAAGGTTTTTCAGCAAATTCCCACTGAAAACATTGATTGGAAGGCCCCCCTGGCCAGCGTCCCCCCTACATATATCGTGCCGTGGGACGGTTTGCGTATTTATGACAGGGAGAGAATTCACTGCTCTTGTATAAAGAAAGGGGAATGGGGAATTGTGTTGGGAGGTCAAACTTGACGGTGAAACCATTGGACAGCGATATTGGGATGATGAAGAGCCGAGAAGAGGATGGGAGAAGGAGGAGCTTTGATGCACCGTCGAGTCCTATGAGGATCAAGGTGCGCATGACTAAAAGGCAACTCGAGGAGCTGAAGGCACGGGCGGTTACCAGAAAAGGGACTTCGGAACTTGGTCGCTTGATCGTTAAGGAATGCTTTGAAGGTAGATTGTCTCCTCGAGTTGTAGTTGGACAAGTTCATATCTCCGAGAATTCAAGATTAAGGCGTTTGAGTTTGAGTACTATTGATGAAGAAGCGACTGTAAATGATAGTTTGTAAGTGATCTTAAACGCTAGAAAAAGAAAGGTTACGTATGTTTTCAATTTTGTTTTTAAGAAACAAAATGTAAGTGTGATCTATTGAAACCATAATAGAAGTTAGGATGTTTTTGGTTTGGAGTGTTTTAAGTGGTCTAAAGGGGCATTGGGAGAGTATACCGGACGGTAAGTTGGGGTATACAGACCAATACCATCCTGTTTCTTGGGTCTTTTGTTGGTTGCTGCCTTCTAAGGAGGTGAAAATTTCTTTCCCTCTGTGTTAATGAAAGTTTGCATACAATCAGGTCGAATAATCATGTACGAATTTTTGTTGTTAATCGTCATGATTTGCACAAAGACAGAAAAAATGTTCGGGTTGCTTTGCTTGACACGCATCCTACTGCTCTGAGGGCAGTAGTTTTAGGGTGGGCTACTTTCCAAGTTTGAAATTCCTTGGCCTGTTATCAAACATATTGGGCCGTAATTTTGATGCTGGATTCCTGATTGAATTATTCTTTGTGTTGTTTAAGTTTATTTATTATGGGTCTTTTTTTTGTGGGGGGAGGGGGAAGATTTTAGTTTTTGGAACAACTGAAAAGGTGTTGGAGACTTGTTCCAACAAATGCCAAGCAGGGTGACCGTTGCAAAACCAAACGGATTTCTATCAAATGATTTCCCTTATTACATACATTGGACGATAACAAATTAATCTTCGAGGGAAAAACAGGCCTTGAATGACTAATTTTTTGCAGGTTTGGATTGGTCCCAGTTTGGTCGAACCGGTGCTGTATTCTGGATTTGTCGAATGGTATTGGCAAGGCAGCTGGGCGCCGCGAATTGGCTCCAGAAATTTATATAGCCTTGGGTGACTCGGAGAATGTTCTAGGAGTCAAAAGCATAATTTGAAGCCCTTCCATTTTTGGTTCGCCGGTTCCAACAGATGGGCCCATTACCCCAAATTGCTCGCTGTTACAGGTACTTGTTGCAGGCCCTCCTCCTCTTAGTCCTTAGTCCTACCCTCGTAAGCCTAGGTCTATAGCTTACAAAATGGAACATTAAAGAATCGCTACGTGTCAACGAATTGAGATCAGAACCAAACTGATGCAAAACCCCCGATTAGAACAGGGAAAGAGAAGAGAAGGGACGATGCAAAAGTCATAGGAAACATATCTCCCCCACGTTACAGTCGCACGCTCCCACTCATCACATGCAGGGGCCGACCACACCCCCAATCACCTACGTTATCTCCCACTTTCAACATTGCCCATCCTTCTCTCTCCACCCTCGGATTTGCCTACACGCGTATCGTAAATCACCATCAAACGGCCTGAAAAACGTGATCCACTCAAAGTCGAAGGTAATAATGGAAAAGCACTGGCGAGTTGCATGTGCGATCTCTGACGCTAGACTGCCTGCCGGGTTTTTGCAGCCTTCATGTGGATAGTACGACACCCTCTACATATTTTCCCACGCTTTCCTTTTTCCTTTTTCCTTTCTCTTAGTTAAGGCCTTTTCCAATGTCTCAGCTCGGCTTGCTTGCCCGCAAGCCAGCCTCCAACAGTATCTTTCTTAGTTCTTACTACCCTCTTTTCTCTAAAAGACTCGAATTTTCATGCAACTTTTGATCTTCTGTTTTCCCACTCTAATTCCTTCAGCATTGTTTTTATCCCTTTTTCCCATTAGTTCTTCCCAAATGTTTCTCTTTTTGCATCACCAACCATTGAGAAAAATAATTTTGCCTTTTTTCCTCTCTGTCATGATTTAATATCCATGGACCTTTCTAATTGTAATAAATTAAGGTGTAGCTAGAATATGATCTAAATGTAATTCAAACTTTAGGAATTATAAATTCATGTCTTTCCTTTTATGTTCAAGTAATTGATTGAGAATGCACTTAAAAGTTGACATAGAGAAAACTCCATTTGGCCCTCTTAGTAAGTGGGGAAGAATTCAAATGGGGCATGCACAACATGTTGAATCAAAGTGAAAGCATAAAGCAAAAACCATTACTATTAGATCGTCCTCCAATAATTTTTTCTTAATCTTTACAAAAATTGGTCCTATATTTGAAATGTGGCGACGATGAGTCAAGTCCGTTCTTTTACCTTATGCATTTTTAACAACAACCCCACCACACCAGATTCAAAGATCCAAGTGCATGGTCAATGCACATAAGCAATTCACTGATTGGAAAATGAACAGGTCCCTTAACCTTCTTTTCCCCCTAATAAAATATACTCTGAAAATGTCAGGCTGACTGCACCCCGTAGGCATCTTAGGATCAAATTAATAATAATCCCACATGCATGCAACAAGAGAAACGTTTTGTGTAATTATGCACTTGGACTTTTCCCTTTATCAATCTGCTGTTAACTTTTTCATAGCCAAATTTTCTACGTACCGTATATCTTAATATGAAACAAGAGAAAAATAATAGCATGGTAGTTAACTTTAGGAATCATTGAGCTATGGCTATGAATTAGATCACTGGTATTATAGTATAATAAATTAGTATTTAGGATTTATGAGTTTACCCAAACTTATCCAAAATAATTCAGATTCCGATCAGCTGTCGCTATCAACTCTTTTTGAAACAGTGAAGACCCTCAGTTTTTCATAACCTAAAAACACATTCCCATTCCCCCAAGCTCAGCCTCAGTGTACTAGGCTACTAGCCGCCAAGAGAGTCGACAAACCCCAGAGTAAAAAAATTAAAATATAAAATATAAAATATAAAATAATAAATAAAAAATAAAACAATAAAAGGAAGACCATAGAAGGGAAAAGTGCTGAATAAAATAATTAGTAAAGAAAAAAAAAGGTTAAATAAAGAAGAGGTTTGACCGAAATCAACGACAGTCCAAAGCCGTTGGTGTGGGTAGCGACAGTCATGATTTGGGTTCCAGATAAATTTTTAATTTTAACTATTCTAGTAGAAATTTAGTTACCCTTTTTGACCCTCCTCCAATCCCTTGTTTATCCTTCCCTTTCACTCCCCCCCCCCATTATAGACGCCGCATGCCACGCTCACCACTAATTCTGCTTCCTCTCTTTAATTTGTTTTAACTTTTTTTATTACAATAATGTTAAAAAAAATAAGAAAGGAAAAGACAAATTTAACCAATTGAGGATTGGTACATAGAAACTCGAATATAGCCCCTTTTGTTTCCTCTTTACCCAAAAATTAGCTTTAATTTTTTCATCATAGTGATGCTAATTGGGTTGCAAGAACAAAATGATTCAAGAGGGGACCCTTGTTGTCAAAATGGGAAGGCATGTCAGTGGATAATGTTTAGATGAAGTTAGAATGGGCTTTGATTAATGGACAATGGACAATGGACAAAACACTAATAATGTTACACTTCTTTTCTTTTTCTTTTTTTTTTTATTTTTCGAATGTTCAATTATGCAAGCTGAGCAAAGCTTGTCCATGGAGGGCAAATTCGGGGTTTCAAACACGAGAAATTGATTAATTGTCAACTGTTATCCTCCCTAATTTAATTTATTTATCACTGCTATTATTCAAAATAATCTAAAAACAAAAAGGAAAAAGAGAATTTAGAAGGTTGTGCCAGAAAGATTTGGCCCACCAAACATAACCCTATTATCTGTACTTTTTCGGTTAAGGGAATAGCTGCCGCTGCAGAGGAGGGAGTTGAACGGAGCCAAACAGGCAGAGACATTTCAAAGAGAGAGAGAGAGAGAGAGAAGGTGTGTGAAATGATCTCAAAGACCCACAAATGCCAGAAACAGAACATGTAATCTTAAGAGGGAGAAGAGAGAGGCAAACGGAAGGTTGAATACAGCGAAGCAGATGTTACGGAGTCCCAACCCCTCTCACACGCAGCCGATAATTTCTATATAATATTATATATACATATATGTTTTTTCTTTCTTTGTTATAACACAGAGAAAAGAGAGAGAGAAAGTGCCGATACAGCGAAAAAGGTTGGGTCTTGGTCTTGATATTTCATTGGGCAACCTTGCCTACTACTGTTGTGGGTTCCCACTAGCAGCTTTTTTGTCTTTCTTTTACTTCTTTTATTCCCTTCTTCCTTCTTCATCCTTTTATCATATTTCCCTCTTTCTCTCTCTCTCTCAGTTTTGCTATAACTTAGTATAAGTTGTAGTATAATATATTTTATATCTGTTGGGGAAGGGTTTTTCTTCTTTTCTTTCTTTCTCTTCTCTCATTTCCTTTTCCGCCTTCTCAATAGTAATGATTTTCTCGTTACGGGTATCGCTGTTGAGGAATCTGAGGAGTTTTGGTTGTGAAAAAGTGGCAGTTATAGCATTAGAAAAACAACAGCCAGAAGAACTTCACCAAAAAAACAAAAACAGGGTACACGAGCGCACGAGTGCTTAAGGAAGGGCAACGCAAAGTTTAAAAAAAAAGACACAGATTTTAAAGGTTGATTGATGTGATCATCCAAACAAACGGCTCTATCAAGTCCCCCTATTATTTTTTTTTTAATTTTCTTTTACCATTTTTTTTACCACTCTATATTTGGCTTCTGGGGAGGTTTGGTTTGTTTTTGGTTCTTGGTTCTTTTAGACTTTTCTCTTGAATCACCATCTTTTTTTTTTCCTGTTTTATTTGGGAGACTGGTCTGTTTTTCTATGTCTCAACAAAGGCAATTTCAGATGATGGGTGGTAACAATCCAGGGCAGTATAATGACACAACTTTTACGAAAATCTTTGTTGGTGGATTGGCTTGGGAAACTCAAAGAGATACCATGAGGCGTTATTTTGATCAATTTGGAGAGATTCTTGAGGCTGTGGTAATCACAGATAAGAACACTGGGAGATCCAAGGGTTATGGCTTTGTGAGCTCATTGATCCCTTTGTTAAAAGCCTCATTTGTTTCCTTCTGCTATCCATTCTGTGACAATAAAAAGTGAATCTCTTTTTATTATTATTTTCATTTCCAGGTTACCTTTAAGGATCCAGAGGCAGCTATGAGAGCTTGTCAAAACCCTTCTCCTATCATTGATGGAAGGAGGGCAAATTGCAATCTTGCTTCATTGGGTGCCCAAAAGACTCGTCCACCAACTCCTCAACACGGTCTCTTTCTTTCTTCCCTTTTCCATTTTTTTTTGTTATTTATTCTTGTTGAAATGCCATCTTCTTATCTCGATATCAACTCTCTATGCATATGTTGATGCTCCTGTGAATATTCAGAGTCCAACATTTGGGTGAGAAAAAGGTCATTTTTTGATAATGATATCTCAAATGTTTAAAAGCCCCTTTTTATTCATTCTGAAGATGTGTTTGTTAATACCGTATATTGGGAAAATATCTTTACCTCGGTTCATTGCTATCATTTCTAAAATGTTTCAAGCTCAAGGCAAGTTGTTAGTCAACGTGATCTGATAAACTGAAATGTGGATCTAAAAACTAGAGGTATAAAATCATTTAATTTGGAGAAAATAATTAAAATGCAGGGGCAGGACGGTTCAGACCAGCACCTGGATTGATGGCACCGCCTGCTTATCATGGTTCCTCGTCAACTTATGTCCAACAACCTACTGGTCAATATTCAATTCCTTACTCAGCGTATGGGTGAGTTCAAGTATAATTATAGAAATAAAATCCAACTACACTTGGTTTTTAACCTGCATTTGCTACTCTTTATTGTTTCATTTATTCTGTTTCATCACCCTCCACTTTTTGTTTACTTCCAGGTACACTGGGTATGCACAAGACAGCATTTATCCTTTGGTTAGTGTTCATAAACAAAGATCACAAATAAGAATGATATACTAAATCAGTTCCTTGACATTGCTTTAGCTGAATTGAATGGTGTTTAATTTGCAGAACTATTATAGTCTCTATGGAGGCCAACAGTTTTCACCTTACTACGCTACCGGGGCATCAGTGACACCGGGGATGTTTCATAATTTTTATCCATTTTATGCTCAATATGCACAAAATAGCCAAGCTCATAGTTTTGGGGTTCAATATCCCCAAATGGTGCAATATCCTTATTTGCCTCAGCAGTATAGCTCCACGGGAATCCTATCACTTCCCTCTTCAATGCCTATGGCAGCAACTACCGCAGGTGCTTATGTTTTACACAACTTCTAATTAAATACATTCGTAGAATATTTTATATAGTTTTCAGTCAATTGATCCCTTGGTGTATAATACCTATTCCAAGAGAATTTTAATGCAAAATGCAACAGGTGTTAATTGTCAAACAAAATATGCAGCAGGTATTGCAGCAACTAATACAGCAGCAACAACATCATCAACAGCCACAATAAAAACAACATCACCAGCAACAACAGCACCACTTCCAGCAGCAGCAGCAGTAACAACAACAACAACTGGGGTGGTGGCAACGGGGCCAGGTCCTTCACGGGTTTCAGGGACACCTACTGAAAAGAAGCCATCAAGTTAATCTGTCTTGAGGGATACAGTTTCTTTTACAAGACAATCAAGATCTTTTGGAAGGGACGCAAAGGTTGAGGAAAAGAGACATTTGAATAAAAAGAATACAACAAGTTATTGATTCAAAAGGAAGGATGCTTCATGCCTGATCACCAAGCATAACAAGAGATGGAAGTCAAAGGATATCAGCACCGGATTTTTCGTTCATGGAACGGGCATTTTAGATGTAAAGCTCGCTCCTCTAACTGTCTACTATTCATTCTCCATTCATGCCCAATAGGATTGTCTTATTGTCATCATCTCCAGTCACCAATTCAGGATACATGTTTGGTCTAGGAGAGTAGGGAGTCTTAATTAGTTGGTAGCATCAGGATTAATTAGAAATCATATTCATTCATGTATTTGCATAAGGTGGAAACCAAATATTGGCTTTGGATTCTACCTTAGACACTAATTATTAGATGACTTTGTCTCGGTTGCAGAGAGCATCCGATGACAGTCTTGTTCATATCTTGTAGCAAGTGGTTCAGAAGATTGATTTTGTATCTTTGAACCCAAATTTGATTGATTGGTCAAGAAAAAGGGCGAGCTCGGATAGCTCACCCATTAACTTGTAATTTTTATTTTTTTGGTTTGTCCATTATTCACGATTGATACTTTTCAAAGATAGGATTAGTTGGGATAAATAAAATGGTGTCAATTTCTTTCTTTAACAGATAATCATCTCTTTTGTCTTTCATCTTTCGCTTTCAGTGGGTAATCTTTTTATTTAATCGAACAAATCCTTTCTTTTCCATGGTCATCACTTTTGGGGTTCGATGCATGTGTATGGAATCCAAGGGGATCTCATCTCAAAAAAGAGGTCAATGGTTGGAGGGTAACTTTTATCGTTTCAGAGTCAAGCATGCCAGTTATCATGCTTCGGATCCTTCCAATTCAATGAAAGCCTGTAAAAGTTTCCTTCTATAGAAATGATGGAAAAGTAAATAGAATCTTGCTACAAGTCATCTGAACTCATCTTATTTGTATTTGCCAATGGCTAATAAAGCGTATGAAAAGAAAAACCAGGAGAGAAATACTGCAATAGTTTTGCATCCTCCAATAAAAACTACTGCAAAGGGATGCTTTAATTTCGGCTTTTATCTTCTGCAATTCCCAGCAAACTGTTCCAAATTTTGCTGCCTGACTAACACAAGCACTACAAATAAAAATATAAAAGTTGCAAGACTTTAAAAAAAAAGGGTGGTAATTTGTTCAACCTGTCATCAAAGTCAGTGTTGAATGTTTGAGGACCAAGTAGGAAAGGTTTCTGCAAAGATTTGATCCACTATTTTTTCTCTCAAGGAGGCCTTTGTTTTTACTTTGATGATGGGTCAAAATCTATTCTACATTATGATAGTAATATGCGGATTAGTCCAAGATGGCCCTGCCTGCCAGCTTGTTGCATGGCAGAAGGCGTCACAGTCTCACTAGGTCTGAAATCTACTTCTCTTTTGTTAGAGATGGTTTGGTAAGATTTCGATCTTATAAAAGAATCTGAGCAAGATTTTTATTTTAATGTTGTCCTTATTTCGGTACAAACTTGTCCCTTTCCAATTAACATAAAAACTGTAAGCCTAATTTAATGAAACAAGGTCCCCCCTCGAAAACAAAAGCAAGCAACATGGCACAACATGGTTGGCCAAAAGCCCAATACTTATTAGCTTCGGCTTATTAAGCATGAAGGAGAAATTGTCAGAAGCGACATAAAAAAGGAGGTTGCATGTCCCCCAAGTCTTGTCAATGGCAGGAGGCTGGTGGTGCCATACACTGAATCGTGTTCAATTTCTTCGGTTGCATGTTGAACTTTGGGTGAAATCGTTCAGAAGTAGGGTGAAGGGCAAGAATTTAACCTTGCTTGGCCTTTTACGCAAATTCAATTCTGAATTCGTATGTACATGGTCTTTGTGTTGGATCAGAGAAGGCAAAAAAAAAGCCTTGGTTTGTGGATGACATTGACTATACTAGCTTGTTCCAGTTTTTGTTTTTGTATTTTTGTCATGCAACTTTAGCATCTTCTTAGTAGCACAACTGTTAATTTAATCTACTGCTTTAACATTTTTCCTTTTCATTTTTGTACGTAACTAACAGAAGACAAACAAAATTCTGTACATGAAAATTCTGATTTGCTAGCTAGCACAGGACAAGAAAATACCAGCTATTCCAAGACTATCCTGGAATTGGCTTCCAATCTATATTCTATACTGTATATCTACGATTCAAGTTAACCTCAAGTGAGCTGCATAGCCGAATTAGTACTACTACTATAATTAAAAATTTGAAGCAAAGCTTTTGCAGATGTCATGATAAATTTGCAAATTTTCATGTCATGTCAAGTCGATTTTTGGCTCCTTAGTCATTTCGCCATTTGAAAACCAGCATCACCAGATGGCGCAGTTAACAGCCCTATTCAGTTCTTTGTTCAATTTCTGGGTCAAGTCCATCTCTCTGCTCTTCTTGTCAGGTACTAGACCTTGCTCCCCACCGCCCCGTATGTTGGGTTGGCGAAAATCTGGCCTTTGCACACAAACTCAATTGAAGGGACTGTTCAGATAATTGTATAAATTTACTAAAATCAATATTTGATACATTCACAGTGTTAATTTTTATACAAAATTAAGTTATCAAATTTGAACACTGTTAATGTATCAAATATTTTTTTGATTTAATAATTTAATAGTATAGTTTGAAAATTGAGTTTTCAAGGATTTGGGTGTTAGCCTATTAGGCCGTTCCCCGGTAGCATTAGAGAATTTAGCTTGGGGTACTGTTGAATAAGCCCAAGTCGAGGTAGGAATGAGGAATCTAAAACTCAGACAAGTCTTGTCTAATAACAATAACTGTTTTTTCACGAGGAATTGAATTGGGAAAGCATTGGATTGTCTACAGTAAAATTCTTTCTCTGAATGCTTTCCCTTTCTGCGTCGTCCTTTTACTTTTGAAAAGGCAAAGGCTTCAATGGCAAGCAAAAGGGTGCCCTGGGCAGCAATTGATTGGTTAGGAATTTAACCGTGGCTACTAGTCCTGTTGCCTTCCTTTTACTTGGGCCCATGCTAGCAGTTGTGCATAAATTTCCTCTTCATCACCATTTGCACTTAGCCCTAGACTTTGCTCAACTGCCACACCTCTTTAGCCTTCCTCCAAAGTTAATTTATTCCTGTTTATTCTCTTCACCGTTGATTTTCCTCGTCTTTCTTTTTGTTTTTTCTTGCCACTGAGCCGTTCGTCCACTTCAGTCAAGAGAACCACCTTCCTTCTTTTGAGTTTCCCATATGGTAAAATGGCTTGGTTAAGGGCTTGGTCTTGTTCTGCTGAAGAAGATACCCGATTTGCATGTGGCTGAACTGCTGAAGAAGAAACCTGGTCCTGGATTTTTGATGGGCAGGCCCCTAGTTTGTTCTTGTCTTGCGGCCCATGATCTTCCTTCGCACTACATCACCCATTGGCCCATTTGTATCTGGCCCATATCTTTCATCAGATCGAACAAGAGTCGGGGATCATCCGGTTTAGCGATTCAATTGACCTGTTTTAGGGTTCTTGAACCGGTACAGGGATTTTATAAAACCTCTGAACCGATTTTAAGGTTTTAAAAAATCTGTTTTAGGGGCTTTAAATCAGATCTAAGATTAATGGAAATTTGTTTTAGGTTTTTGAAATTCAATTTTAAGATTCTGAGACAAAAGTAATAAGCAACAAAAGATTTCCAAATCAAAAAACAAGAAAGGAAGATGAGAAAAATGGTAAGAGAGTGTTTGGTTTAGAAAAAGTGAAAGATATTTATTACAATTTAAATAATCACAATAATTTTGTAATATTTGGTTTATAAAAAATAAGAGGGAATATAATTGTAAAGAGAAAGTCATTAAAAGGATGAGTGCAAGAAAAAAGGTGAAAAAAAAAAAGAAAAAGGAAAAAAAGAGAGAAAAAGAAAAAATAATAAAAAAGTGGAGTTCTTTTTTGTCTTTTACCTTTCTTTAAGTCGATGTTTACTAAAAATAAAGAAAAGGGAGAAAAAATATTAGAAAAAAAAAGAAAAAGTGAAGTTCTTTTTTTTTATAATTATAATGGTAGATTTCGTATAAAAAAGCGCACGTTTTGCCAATTACAAAAAAGGATGAATAACCATGATTGTGAATGCCGTCCATGGCATATTGTTTACCAAAAATTTCCAATATTAATACTCACTTCACTAGACAAAGAACAAAAAAGAAGAGTAAAATATTTATAAATTAATTAAATTTTATGTTTATAAAATAATTTTATTTATTGAGTAAAATAAAAATAATTGAATGTTTATAAATTAATTAAATTAACTAATTAATTTATTTATTTATAAAATAATTTAACTTACCTAATTTAATTCTTTAAAACTTAACTAATTTATTAAAAATAAATATTTAGTATCTTTATATATATTTTAATATTATTTTTATCATACTATTATTTATTATTTTAAGAAATAAGTTGAAAAGTGAAAAATTTATATTAAAAAGAATATAAATTTATTTAATTTTATATTTTCATTGAAAGTAATTATATAAAATTATATTATATTTCCTGTAATCATATTTTCCCGAACAATACCAAAATGTTTTAAACTTATGTTTCCAACAATTATACTTTTAACAACTGCATTCTCTACAAAATACCAAACCCGTCTACTAGTGACTGTTCTTAACCAGCAGTGTCCCAAATCTAGGCCTTGATGACCTTGCCATCAACATTCAAGCTACGAGTAGCGAACTTGACGCCACTGGTGGAGTTAGACTCGAGGCTAAACTCGTTCCTGGTGAACCTCGAGAGCAGATTGGACTTTCCCACTCCTGAATCACCGATTAACACCACCTTGAAAAAGTAGTCATAGTGATCGTCTGCTCTGTAACCAGCCATCTTTCACTCTTCTCAAAACCACTGTTGTTGCACTCTTTTTGACTTCCCTTTAGCTAAATTTACTTGGAGGAAATGAGAGAGAGACAGAGAGAGTGAAAGACGGGTGGTTTCAAGTTTATTTAGCCATTTTTAAGATCTCTCTCGAGAAAATTTTCTTGCGCTTCACCCGAATTTGTCTTAAAAGTTCAAATAACAAAGAAACAGATACTAGTGAATTTGGCGGGAGGCCAGAGGTTTCTGTCTTCTAATTAAAACTCATTCCCAAATTGAATTGGGTCCATTCTGGGTTGGTCCTCGAGAAGGAATAGCCATTGATGTGCTCGAACAAACATACATTCTCAAACTCCACTGATTTCGTGACGATGAATTGTAAGACAGAACCACGTGAACATTCAGGCGCTGGTGTCTCTTCCTAAATCCTTCAAGACCATTATTCATTCAAGATTTCAGGAAATTTCCTAGTTACCTGTCCAGAACCAAATCAAGGCCTCATATTCTCTACTCTCCCAAATAGGTTTTGCTCTTCATCATCTTCCAAAAAGAGAAAAGGAAAATAACCAGAAAGCCATGGCTATTAAAATTCCTGGTGTTATGCATGCTAGACAAATTCTACGCCAATCAAAATATTTTGCAAATCAAGTTATCTCCTGATAGTGTTCCAAAAGGCTACTGCAAAGAAATTAAAAAAAAAAATTGTGATTCCAGGCCAAAATATAAATTTTCACATTTTTAAGTCCATTTTTTTAAAAAAATATAATATGGGTTTATAAAATTAAATTAAAATAAAATTTTCCTCATAATCATTTTATTCTCTATGTAAATTCATCGGTGTCAAAGTTTACGAAAATATTTAAGAAAAGATTATGTTGTTACAACGTTAAAAGTATAGAAATTAAAAAATTATTTTTCAATTTACAAAAACTGAAAATGAAATGTAATTGTAACACAACAAATTGAGAAGATGGAGTTCTCGTTCTCCTATTTCCGGGGAAGTGCATTATCATTTTCTAACAACTGAGGCTGAATTTGAAATACGGGCCAGTTTGTCTAATGGGCCTCAGAAATCGCAGGAGCCCAATTCACACTTTTTCTTTAAAACCCTTTTTCACAACGCCGAAGGGATAACCCTAGAAATCCTTGCTTGAGAGCGGCGCTGCACAGCTTGCTCTGAACCATCAGTCTCGTATTTCGTCTCTCAGGTAACTCTCTGCCTTTCTCTCTTTTCTTTTATAGTCTGGTGATTATTGGAAATCTTTATATGGATTGGGTTTAATTTTTTTTTCGTTTTATGTTAGTAGTTTTAAACGATGTCGTCGATTGGGGAACTTGCTTGCTCTTACGCTGCTATAATTCTTGTTGATGATGGCATCTCGGTCACCGTATCCTTTATGCATTTAGGGTTTTACGATTGTAATTCGAATTTTGTTCAAATTTAGCAGATACCATTATGGACTGAAAATGAAATTAAAAATCTTGATTCTTGTTGTTGAAAGAACGAGATTACTATGTGTTCGGGAAGATTGGTTTATCTGTTTCTTTAACTACTGCTAATAGGCTGACAAGATTGCAGCAATAATTAAAGCTGCAAAATTGTCTGTTGAATCTTATTGGCCAAACTTGATTGCTAAGCTTGCTGAGAAGCGCAACCTTGAGGATCTCATAGCCAATGTGGGAGCTGGTGGTGGTGCTGCTGCAGTTTCTGTAGCTGCACCCGCTGCTGGTGGTGGCGGAGGTGGTGCTGCTGCTCCACCTCCTGCTGAGGAAAAGAAGAAGGTGAGACTTCAAATAGAATTGGGATTTCCTTATTTTTGTTTTTTCCTTGCATTATTTATTTTGATATGTGATTTTTTTGGTAATTTTGCAGGAGGAACCGGAAGAAGAGAGTGATGATGATATGGGATTCAGCTTGTTTGATTAGGAGCTCCTTTCAGTGTGTGATTTGGTCGACTACTGGTTTAGTGCGTTAAGCTATAACAGCAGTTACTGTTTTGAGTTTTATTGTATTGGTATTAGTATTTGTCTGTTGATTAGAGGTACATGTATTCTTAAATGAAGTGACACTGAGTAGTTGTTCCTTTTTGAGCAATGTTAGAATCTTTCTATATATATAAGTCTTCCTAGACTAATTTTTGTCATTTGTTAGAGTGTTGAATTGATGTTGTTATTCCATTGCAATGCATGCATTTGGTTTTTGTTGTTTTCAGCAGTTATATATTTTGCCATTGATGACATCTCAGGATCTGATCCAATGGGTTGCTATTTTACATTACTGTCATTGCCCGTTGGTTCTGAGTTCTGTTCTTATTTGTTTGCTGAAATTGGTTCTTGAAGATTGCTTTGTCTTATATTTTGCTGTGTGTTTCTTGAATTTAAGCAGTTTTCTTTTTACTTTTTGCCATTTGTATTCACTGGTAGATTTAGCCATTTTCTATTCAGAACATCAACCAAATCTCTTATTATCTGCTCTAGCGAGTATGAGACACTGTACCCAGGGCTTGTTTACTGGATATTCTTGAATGAGATGCCCTGATTCTTTCTGGATATCTTTGGAACATGGAAGTGTAAATATCATTGCTGTGCGTTTATAACCTCGGTCTCTGTGGTGAGCCAGGAATGGATTCAGTCAAAAAATAAACGATGCTAGCCAATTGTTTAACTTGGCCAAGTTAAAATGTTGATTCAATTAGTTACATTGAGCAAAACTCAAATGTGTTTCGGTGTCATTACCAAATTTACTGTTTCTACATGCGAAAGTCTGCTGAGCTAATTTAGAGGTGCGGTAGCGTCTATCATGGAGTTGCAACGTTTTCCTTGGCAAGAGGAGCAATCTTCACATCATCAATTCCGGGTTCACTACCGGGGACGCCTAGACTCAGCAGCTGCCCCTCCCATTTCTTAGCAAGTCCCTGTGCCATTGAGACATTAATTACAATTAGTCAAGGCAAGTTATTATTTCGATCCTTGGGGATCAAGCAATCACGTACTTACTTTATGGTAGACTATGATTCATGCTGTTTTTAATGAACTACTGGGCAGGGTTATGTTATTACCTCAACGTTGAAGGCTCCCATTTGAAATCCTGTGAAACCCTCTTTGGACTGTGTCGACCAACCCACCAGTTGAGAAAAGAAAAAGAAAATAATAGCAAATGGACAAGAAAAGAGGAAACGTTAGGTAATAAGTATGTACATTATTTTATTTTATTTTATTGGAAATAATAAGTATGAACATTTTTAACGAGGAGTTAATCCATCTGACGAGTTTTTGGTTGACTCAATACCGTTCCATAGCGCGTAGCATGCAGCTGAATATGACCACAAGGTTCAAATCTGCAGGGAACTAAAATAAAGTCTGCTCCTGCTATAATCATATGAGCCAAGGGAACATTGAATTTTGCTACACCTTTAGCCTTGTCAGGATATAATATTTCCAGCTGTTCAAGCTGGTTCTCCATTCGTTTTTTGCCAGTCCCCTGGGAGAAATTTAGTAAGCATTGATTTTAGGGAAATTCATCTCATTTTATGAACATGGATTAACACAGGTGGGGAAAAAACATTTCCATCGGGATACTTACAAGGACTATTATCCGAAAGTTTTTCTCTAATGAATTGGGGAATGGCTTCTACAAGTATGTCCGAACCTTTCTGCTCTTGTAGCCTACCTATGAAGCCTATGACAGGGATGTTTCTACCCACTGGGAACCCCACTTCGGCTTTTGGAGGGCTTCCTTCAGAAGAGGCTTTGCTGCCATAACCTGAGAGTGTCGTAAATGAGTAAATCCTGATGCAATGCTAATTATGATTGGCCAATTCAAGTTCGTAACTTCTTGCGGTTGAAGCATCATATTTGACAGCTATTTATTTGTCAGTTGACGGGTTCCATTCTTGGACATCCATGTCATTGACGATTCCAATGATGCCTGTCTTCCGAAGAATGTTATCCAATTCTACTCCTTTGTCTACGCCAGAAACAATGAGCATAGTATGGGCTAACAGTTAAGAAGCTCGTCAGACTCTATTATGCCAGCTTTCATCCAATTGATTTTCCTTCCCTTGACAGGTTTATCATACCTGCAGAGTAGATTGATCAAACTTCGTGTTTAACTGTAGGAATTCCATTATGTGATGCTGATCGAGTGTACCAACAAAATCAAATGAGCTTTTGTATTCATCTGGGAGATTGAGAAGTGAGAAGTCAGCAAATGCGAATCTTCCTTGATAAGCAATGTTGTGAATGCAAAAAGCAACCTAGCCACAAATCACAATATATGTTGTCTCTGTTAGAGATAGCACACTAACTTAGCCTCACGTCATCATTTTTTATGATTTCAAGAACAACATAGTTTTAGTAACCTCTGAGCAACTCATTATATTGGTTTACTTCTATGTTCGTTGAGGTGAGTTGAAAACAAAGACAAAAGTTATTATATCTAGGTATTTTGTAGCTTATATATACACACTGTTGGTTTATATACAATTATGTGCTCTTCTTCAATTGTTCTTACTGCGACTAGAATTCTTAAATTCTTAATCTATCTCACCTTAGCACTTTTATATATTCCTCTTGGTTAATGCATTCATATGCCAGTCATTGGCACAGAAAACAACATCTTCACCTGCAAGCAGGAAGATCTGAACATCAGCATTTTTTTTTGTAGCAGAACCTCCGGTTGTGAGAATCATGTAAATGCTTTAGTCCTTATTCCTTACTATATGGCCCTGATAAATATTTACTGCTGCTGAGGTTCAGAATCCTTGGTGCTTCCAGAGCTGCCTGAAATCCATAACTTAGCAACTTTGAGTATTAACACCAGGCAGTGGTAACAGAGAAAGCAACGAATTGGTTGACAATATTACACACATAAATCTTTCGATTAAGTGCTCAATAAAAAGAGATACGTTGCCAGAATTTTAGAAACTTGACCATGCAATTCTCTCAAGCTATGTGGAGAGAATAGCACACTAGATCGTGGGGTGGGCGAAGGCTCCGACCTGAAATAACAAGCTGAACGTAAGTCCTAAGTTGGTTGTCTTCATAATCCTCTCCAGCAATTGGGCATAGATTGTGGATCCGGTTTTCCCCCATGCTTGAAATGCATTCATATTATGAAAGTACATCTTCTGAGTTCTGACTGATCAAAACATATTGTTAATGAAGTGAAATAAAAAGATTCTGATCCACAAGGACTAACCTTTTCAAGAAAGGTAAGGTGATCCACGAACACGTGATCAACTCCCCCTTTGTAGCAGTGGAAGAAGCGGACTTTCTCGGTTCTATCTCCAACTTTAACCTATATAGCATTTCAAAGGGTATGTGCAATTATCTAAGGAATTACAGGAATATTGCTGAAACAGAAACCTACTGGAAGAAGATGATATTTGGATGTTTCGGCATGAAAGATGGTACTAAAAAAACTAGTACCTCAACTGTAACACCTGTATCCAAGGCATCCTTCTACTGGTCATAACGAGAAGCGATTCTCATGACACGATGGCCATTGGCCTTGAGGAGGATTAGTTTTGGTGAATTTTGCTCTCTTCAAACTCCCCGTACACCAATCAATAAAGAATTGATATTGGATACATGGTGATTTCTTATAAAGTTTCTATCCCACATTATTTAGGTATAAAACATGTTTATGTTTTACATAAATATATACGTGATGGGCTTGTTGAAAGTTAAAAAATAAAATTGGCTTGTACACGAGTTCGGACCGAAAATATAAATTTCCTCCTTTATGCAAGTCCAAGTAATATTTTTGTACTTTGACTCTATGCTTTTTATATGAAGTCTTTTTACCGTTGGTCTTTGATTTACTAAATATATTGGGTTTTGACAATTAATCTTTGATTCTCGCTTTGGCTTTGACATTATCTAAAATCCCTTTGGTCTTTGATTTTGATCTTTGACATTATCTAAAACGGTTACAGAATAGTTTATAACATTTTATTTTTCCTCATTTGGTCTTTGATTTACATAATCAAATAATCTTAATTTTTCCTAGCACTTAGTCTTTGATTTTGGTGAGATATTTGAGGATAAGGAAGTAGGCAGAATATAGTTTGGTTGGCAGAATAAAAAACAATTCAAATTGTATTTTCTATTAGTAAATTTTAGGATAGGGAAGCAGACAGAATATATTTTGGTTGGCAGAATTAAAGAACAATTCAAATTGTATTTTCCAAGTTTAAAATGGGAATCAACAAAATTGTATTTTTCATCCTAGGAAAAAGACTTGGTCAAGGTAAAGTGAAAAAGTTGAAAAACTAAAACATATAACCAATAAATAAAATATCAATTGAGCCTAACCCATGTGTATACAAGGGAAAATCTGTATTTTTTTCAAGATAAGTTTATAATGACTTTATTTATATAAAACAGTAACATGTTTTGTAATTAGATAATATGAAATAGAAACTTTATAAAATATCATTATATGTCTAACAAATTGAAACTATATAATAATTATTGCTAATGATCAATAGCAGAACATAATGATAATTAGTCAAAAAAGTTTTGCATAATGACAGACAAAACACCTGGACAAGCATTCGTTAGTGCCAAAATATAGTTATGTAAAAGTAGAGCGACTGTCCTCATGCTTACATATTTTTTATATTTGAGGAGAATGCTTACGATTGCTTACAAATTTTTGCTTCTTTTTCACCGTTTCTACGGACAAGAAACAAGGCTCTAGCCTAGTGATGAGGTTCAATGACCGGCTCTAGTTGTATGGCTTCCTAGCTAGTCAGGCCTTCAACATTGTTCATTCCTTAACCAATAAACATGTGAATTTGGGCACCAATTCCGCAATCTACCAGAATTTAGACTCTAAGAATTGGGGTTTAAACTATTTGAATTTCTTCTATGATCAGGACATCTATGTCTCTATCATGTAACCATGGAATTGAAGCTCTACATAGGTTAGAGGGAGCATCAAGAAAATACTGCACAATAGGCTAGAAAACACGATGATTGAACAGAGAAATGGTGACAAACTTGTTACATACATCTTGTAGAGAACAGTCTGCTAAAACAGGGAGAACTATTCACTCTGCCTTGCTATATTTCTGCTCCAAACTTCCGAGCAGTTACTGAATAGAATGATGAATGATGAAACCTCTGCCAAGATGAGCCCTCCGCCAAGCTGCGGTGAATTTTAGCACCCAAGTCTGTAAGTGGAGGTCCATCCCTTGCACTGCACCTTTTCATTTCTACCGTTAAAGACTCAAGAGTTGGTGGCCGTACAATCCACATGGCAAGCAGAGGATGGCTAAGATAAGGCGTGCTACGTTGCCCGGGGCCTTCTCGGTTTTGCACGGCTTACGAGGTTTTGAGAGCTTGGAGTCAGCTCTGGACCAGGCAACCGCAATAACGGATAAACGGAACCGGAGTACATACATAAAGGTCTTTTTCATTTTGTACTACTTTAGCTTCGTGGTTTGTTTGTGTTTATCAAACTCAAACTCAATAGTTTCGTAACATGGAAGTTATTTAATCAAAATTTATTGATGGATAAGTTAAGGTAATTGTACAAACTATCTAAGTTAATATTATTAACTAGAAAAATTATAATATTTAATTAAAGTTAAATTATAAATAAGATTAATCTTGTGTATAAATACATATTTATTCACTTTTATAACAACAAATACAATTTCATTATTGTACAAATATCAATCTTGTATTAGGAATTGTGTATATAGTTACAAACGTGAATGAAATATATATTTATAAGTTTAGTTCTAATTAGATACTGTAATCTAAGTAAATATTATAATTTAACAAGTTAATAATATAATATTATAATCTAATTAGATAATTTGTTTACTTAAGGGAGTCTAATTTCATAATGAGGTTTATTTAATTATCTTAGTTATTAAAGAATTATTATTATTATTATTATTATTATTATTATTGTTATTATGGGTAGTTGTTTTTGCTTTTATGAATAAAAATATTTTTGACAATAAAAGGAATAAGATGATTTTAACATATTAAAATTTGACTTTCATAGATAAAATTATTATTGTCATTAATTGAATTTCATATAATATTTTTGAAAGTATAATTTCAGACTTTAAAAAGTATCATACCTACTTCGATATTAAGGAAACTTTATTTATTTATTTACAAAGCAGTGAAAAAAAATTTGTGGTTTTAAGAAAATGTGTAATTCTTATCAGAGTGAAATTTTCTGAAAAGAAGCAGTGATCTGTCACCGCCTAAACTCTTCTAAGTTCTGACTATGAGCTTATGTTGTTCGCTTTCACAGCCGGAGATGATATTTCCAAGAATTAATGGTGAACTTTAATTGACAACGAGAAAGCTTCCGCTAAATGGAACTCGACATTGACTCGTTACTTGACTCACACCTCTCCTCCGATTCCGAGGACGATTCCAACTCTATCATCGGTCGCCGCACCATCGATGAAATCCTCAACGACTCCGATTCTTCGACGTCATCCTCCTCACCCTCTTCTCCTCCTTCCATTCGCCCCTACTCCACTAACCGCCTTCCTCGGTCGCACACCGGTCCGCAAGACTTCGCGGAATCTTTGAAGGGAAACGACGCGGTTTCGCAAGGACCAGCGGAATCCTCGAAACCTAGCCCCTTCTCGCGGATTGGGGATCCTATATGGAGGGTTTCGTCATCGTCTTCTTCCTCAAAACAGTTGCCGACGCTGTTTGGCGGAGTGAGATCCAATGCGAAACCCGGAGCTGCACTCGCTGCGGCTGCGGCGGCGTCGAGGTCGGTTCCAACGCCGCATGCGGCGGCGATCAAGTCTAGGAGGGCGGGAAGCGGCGGGGTTCTCCAGAAGGTTATAGATAGTGATGATCATGAGGTAAGCTCATTGAATGGGGAATCAATTGCGGTTAGTTCGGAATCAAGCGTTTCAGGTGAAAAATTAGAAATTGACGATTCTAATGATAATAATAAATTGGGCGATTTTCAATCTGCTGATAACCATGAAAATGGTAATGTTGTTGATAATAAAGATAAGGAAAGCGAAACGGATAAAGTAATTGAACAAATGGATGCCTGTTCTAAGCTTGATTTTGATGAGAACTCAAACGAAGAAGTTACGATTTCGGGTTCAGTTGAAGTTTTTGATAAAGAAATTCAATCTGTTTTTGCTGATGAGACTTCTATGGTTCTTGATGAGAATGATTCAGATAAAAAGAGTGTTTCATCTTTGACCGGGGTTGATCAGGAGAGAAATATAGATAAGGACTTGGTGATGGTGGATGTGGAAAAGGATAATTTAGCAAATGATATGGGTAGTCATGAAGATGGTGAGGAAGGTGTTGCTGATGGTGCTGATATTGGTGGTGGTGATGATACAAGTTCAATAAGTGATATTTCGGAGCTTGTAGAGGAGAGATTGGAGCAGTTAGAGAGTGAGAGAATAAGTAAAAGGGCAGAAAAGAATTCACGTGCTACAATGAAGCCACTTGAATTTGCTGAAGAGCTTGAGATGAAGCAGGCTTCTACTGGTTTGCATTGGGAGGAGGGTGCAGCTGCTCAACCAATGCGGCTTGAGGGTGTTAGGAGAGGTTCAACCACATTGGGATACTTTGATGTTGAGGCTAACAATGCAATCACTCGGACTCTTACATCACAGGCATTCAGGCGTGATCATGGCTCCCCTCAAGTTTTGGCAGTTCATTTAAATTTTATTGCAGTGGGAATGACTAAAGGAGTCATAATCCTAGTGCCAAGTAAATACTCTGCTCATCATGCTGACAACATGGATCCTAAGGTGTTTCATTTGCTCTATCTCTTTGATTGCTTCTCTTTGGAATTATGTCTTTTTATAGTTGTTGAATTTTGCTCCTTTTTGGTTAAAGACAAGTTTGGTTAGTAGGAAAATATTCTTATGACATTGCATTCTGATGCGCAAAACAATAAAATTTAGTATAAATTACTGGTTTGATGGATTGAAATTTGAAAGATGGAATCTTATAGTATCTTGTCAGTGCATTATGACTAAAAGACATGATGCAGCTGCTTGACCAGATTTACAGAAACATACTTGAAATCAGAGGCTTGTTAAGACATGCCTTCACATGTGTTAGTAATCTTCTTTTATTTCTTGTTTTGTTTGCTTGTGATTCATAGTGGTGAACCATTTTATTGTAGTTATCCATGTTAACGTCTAATGCGGTTGAGGAATTTGTATGATGAACTTTGAGGCTTCAATATGCATACATTTAACAAACTTTCTGGAATTTGATTTTTCATTTGTAATTGAATTTGTATGAGTTAACTTTGCTGTTTAATTATGTGATATGTATTCTAGATGGTGATACTTGGTTTGCAAGGGGATCGGTTCCTTGCCCCTGTAACGTCCATGTGCTTTAATCAGCCAGGAGACCTGCTCTTAGCTGGCTATGGTGATGGTCATGTTACGGTTTGGGATGTTCAGAGGGCATCAGCTGCAAAAGTTATTACCGGAGAACATACTGCACCAGTGATACATACATTATTTCTGGGGCAGGATTCTCAAGTTACTCGCCAATTTAAAGCAGTTACAGGTGATAGTAAAGGCCTGGTCCTCTTACATGCTTTCTCAGTTGTTCCCTTGCTTAATAGGTTCTCGATCAAAACACAGGTAAAATGTTACTACATTGAAATAAGTCTATTTGTGTGGGGGATTAAGTTATCTGCTTATTCTATATTGATATTCAATTGTCAACAGTGTAGTACTTGTTAGATTGATATGTTCTAATATTGATTGAAATAGTGTCTTCTTGATGGACAAAGAACGGGCACTGTATTGTCAGCTTCACCCCTTCTTTTTGATGATTCATGTGGGAGCACTTTAGTGACCTCTCAAGGGAATGCTACAAGCAGTATTGGTAGCAAGATGGGTGGTGTAGTTGGGGGAGATGCAGGTTGGAAACTCTTCGCCGAAGGCTCTTCTCTGGTTGAAGAAGGTGTGGTCATATTTGTCACCTATCAAACTGCTCTGGTGGTATGAAGTCTGGATGATTGCACAAATTCCATGTATCTTTTGTGTTTAGGATTACATTTGCATATTTCTCTACAGTTCTTATACACCATTTTCTGAAGCCACTTTTTTTTCACCTGTAGGTAAGGCTTACTCCAACATTAGAAGTTTATGCACAACTTTCTAGGCCAGATGGTGTGCGGGAGGGTTCCATGCCTTACACTGCATGGACATGTATGACACACCCTCGTGGCTTTTCATCAGGTATGGAGTGATTGAGATTGTTAAGTTTCACATTGACAGCTTTCTGAGATATGAATATGTTGCAGAAAATACACCATCAGAAACAGCAGAAAGAGTTTCACTGCTTGCTCTTGCATGGGATCGGAAAGTTCAGGTTGCAAAGTTGGTCAAATCAGACCTGAAAGTATATGGGAAATGGTCTCTTGACAGTTCAGCCATAGGTGTCTCTTGGTTGGATGATCAGGTATGCATGGTCTTGTTTCTGTAGTTCCATACGCCCTTTGGCTTCTTCTTCATTTTGTTGTGCTTCTGTTTGTTCCTTCAATTAAACAATTTGCTAATGGAGGCTTTCATGCTTGTACAGATGATGGTGGTTCTTACAATGACAGGACAGCTCTATTTGTTTGCTAGGGATGGAACTGTGATTCACCAAACAAGTTTCGCCTTTGATGGTTCTGGAGGAGATGATCTTGTTGCATATCATACTCACTTCATTAATGTCTTTGGAAACCCTGAAAAAGCTTATCATAATTGTGTGACTGTGAGAGGAGCTTCCGTATATATACTAGGACCTATGCATCTTGCGGTATGCCGACTTCTTCCATGGAAGGAAAGGATTCAGGTTCTACGGAAAGCAGGTGACTGGATGGGAGCTTTGAACATGGCGATGACACTTTATGATGGCCAAGCCCATGGTGTTATTGACCTTCCAAGAAACCGGGAATTGGTGAAGGAGGCCATAATGCCCTATCTTGTGGAGTTGCTTTTGTCATACGTAGATGAAGTGTTCTCTTATATTTCAGTGGCATTTTGCAACCAAATTGGTAAAAAGGAGCAGCCAGATTACCCTGAAAGTAGAAACGGTTCTGTGCACTCTGAAATAAAAGAGCAATTCACTCGTGTTGGTGGTGTAGCCGTTGAATTTTGTGTCCATGTCAAGAGGACTGACATTCTTTTTGATGAAATTTTCTCCAAATTCATCACTATTCAGCAAAGAGGTATTAATAACAGCTCATTCCATGCCTGCAGTAATTACTTCTATATTCTGTATTTGCTGTTCAATATTTAAGTTGAGCTACATTGCCAAGTCAGGGATTTAGTGATGTAGAATAATTATCTTTCTGTTAAATTGTTGTAATCTAAATTTAAGGAAAGCATGTCATGCCTGATACCTGACAACTTGACCCTGTTTGTGATGGTCATTGCACATCCTATAGATTCAAGCTGGAGTGAATTCTTATCAGTTACCATCATTGGAAAAAGTTTTTGAATATCATAAATATGCATATTCTTTCTGAACTCCTTTTTTGTTGATAATTCTGAATGCAGAGAGTGACAAAAATTGATGTTTACTTGCATATTTTCAGGACGGACTGTCACTGAAAAACCTTATAAGCATTTTAAGGGCAAAGCAAGATTACTTGAGAAGATACTAACAATAGTGGTGCTTAGTTGGCTTTATTTGTTGATGAATTAACTCTTATCTTGCATATTATTTATTCACTCTTTTGGTATTTGATTTGTTAGTGAATTATATCCAGAATCAATGTAATGGCTCTTTTTCTCATGGTTATTTGCAGTTGACATTTGAGTTAAGTGATATTTCTTCATCCAATTTGTGCTATCCATTGTTTGGTAGCCTGTGAAGATGTGCATAACACAATTTATCCATTGATGACTTCCTTGTTTGGCACTCATTAGACACAATTTTTTATCTCTGAATAATTTTCTTTTTTTGTTCTAGAAACATTTTTAGAGCTTTTGGAGCCGTACATATTGAAGGACATGCTTGGATGTTTGCCTCCTGAGGTACCATATAGTGTTAAAACATGTAGCTATACACTTCATCTTATAAATACATTGTAATTATACATTCACTTTGTTGGAAAGATCATGCAAGCACTGGTAGAGCATTACAGCAGCAAAGGATGGTTGCAGCGTGTGGAACAGTGTGTTCTTCACATGGACATTTCTTCCTTGGACTTCAATCAGGTTAATATATATCATCTACATGTCTTTTTGGATGCTTCCTTCTTGTCTTTTTTTTTTTCCCCGATTTTTATCACAAAATTTTCACTAATTTTCCTTATCTATTTTGTAGGTTGCCATTTTATGTCGGGAGCATGGTTTGTATGGTGCTCTCGTGTATCTTTTCAACAAAGGATTAGATGATTTCAGGGCACCTTTAGAGGAGTTGTTGGTAGTTTTACGAAATAGTCAAAGAGAAAGTGCTTCTGGCCTTGGGTAAGTTAGATAGTCAGACATGTTGATTAAGGGGGTGCGGGGTTTTTTTTTCTTTTTGAGTATTAGTTTCATTTCAATTCAAAAGCAGGGGAGACCCCTGAATATACAAGTCATGAAACCCAGGAAACTGGAAACGGTTGACAGATCCTGGCGTGTAAAAACCTTAGTATATTACTCTATTCATCTATACAAAAATCACACCTATCAACCCCTCTTCCAACCATCCCTGTACAACATCTGAATCCCACAAGGGAAAGGTCTATAGACAGAGAAGTAAGAGTAAGAAACACAACCAGTTGGACTGTTTCCTTCTCTTGCAACTCCATGAGGCTGATTAACCAACAGTCACAGGAACAGCCATGATGTCCCATTTTTCCATTGTCATCAAACCACAACCTCGAGGGTAATCCTCCCACTGTAATTCTCCCGAACATCTAAAAACAGAATGCCCACTTGTTTAGTACCTGATAGATTCTATTTTGTTCGGGAAGCATACCAGCTATATAACTTAGTTACCTTTCATTTTTTATTCCTTGGACCATGCTTTAGTCTTAAACCTATTAAATCACTATGGTCCATGTGAGCAGTCCACTTGCCAAGGTACTAAGGTGGCTTGTACCTTTCTTCATTTTAGCAAGCTTGAATCAAAACAGATGAGACAATTATATGTTAATTAGAAGAGACTAACACATATGGGTACATTTGTTTTAATCACTTTTTGATTTTTTTTATAACATTTGGAGGGCTTAAATGATATGAAGGTAGTGGTGTAGACCATGAGGTTTAATCTTGATATTTCTGGCTTTGTCTTGCATGTTCAGTTACCTAAATAACATAGAACCAACAAGATATATTGGAGTAACTTCTCATACTTTATGTTAGTTTACAAGTTTATAAAATATTTTCTTGTCATAGTATTCTGTTGTTATTCTTGCAAGTGAGGTCTTCTTATGAGATTTGTGGAACCAAGAATTGCATTGTTTACTGGAAAAATTTTATTTTCCATTTTATTTAGATTAATGGTAATTTTGTAATAGCATATTTTATAGTTCGTATTGTTTTTTCTTTTGGTCTTCATATTATTAGCTTTCTATCAGTACTAAAACTTGTTCTTCTTATCAGATACAGGATGCTTGTTTACTTGAAGTACTGCTTTACAGGTCTTGCTTTTCCACCAGGTATGACTTGTTGTTCTATTGAAGTAGTGAAAAGGTGCATTTTGTTATGTTTTGACAATCCAAAAAAGAAAAGGTCTTTCCTGATCTGAAGCTAGGTTGATTCATAGAAAGTTAGTTGATCAGTTATTAATGTGGAATTTGTTAGTCTAATTGCTGCTTGCTTCATTAAACACACACTTGAAATGCTATCGAATGCATTGGCTTATTGAAAATGACATCTTACACTAACTTTTATTTTATAGTAACATTGAACTTGTACTTCTAGGGATTTTGCATTTCCAAACTAGTACATATAGGGCCTGACATAGTTCTGAATGATTTCCCTTGTTAATATTATTTAGTGCCATGTTAATGTGTAGCCCTTGGTTTCACAATGGTTGAGGCTGATCATTTGCACTACTGAAACATGCCAATTCTCTATCTGCAGGACAAGGTACTCTTCCACCCTCACGCTTGTCGTCTCTTAGGACAGAACTTCTGCAATTTTTGTTGGAGGTTTCTGATGGCCAGGATCGAAAATCAGCTTCAACATTGGCTTTTGGAGGGGCTTACCTTAACCTGTATTATCTCTTAGAGTTAGATACTGAGGCTACTTTAGATGTTCTCAAATGTGCTTTCATAGAAGACAAATCCCCCAAACCCAACTCCTCTTTTTCTGAGTCTGGTGATACAAATGTGGAAGCTAAAAAGGAAAATGATTTGATGGCTGAATCTGATACTATGTTGGTTCAGAAAACTGTTGATGCTCTGGTTCATGCTCTTGATAAGAATGTCTCTCGAACAGATGGGCTTCCAAGCAGTGATGATACTGAATCAATAGAAGCATGGCCTTCAAAAAAGGACATGGGCTATCTGTTTGAGTTCATTGCTTACTATGTTGCATGTGGAAGAGCTAAAATCTCAAAAATTGTTCTAAATCAGATTTTGGAATACTTGACTTTAGAAAATAATATTCCACAAAGCGTTTCCACCATTAATACTGAAAAATCCAAAAGAAGAGAGAAGCAATTACTCGCACTTTTAGAAGTAGTGCCAGAGAGTGATTGGGATCAATCTTATGTGTTGCAGCTATGTGAGAATGCACGCTTTTACCAGGTATCTTTACCATGCTAATTTCTTGATTTTCTCGCTGTGAGCATGATGTGAAGGTTTAGATTTTTTCTCTTCAGGTCTTCCTTACAATAAGCTTTGTTTTGTTATGCTTAGGTTTGTGGCTTAATTCATGCCATCAGACACCAGTATCTTGCTGCTCTCGATAGCTATATGAAAGATGTGGAGGAGCCGATTCATGCCTTCGTTTTTATCAACAATTCATTAATGCAGCTGAGTGGTGGAGATCATGCTACTTTTCGATCAGCAGTCATCTCTCGAATTCCAGTGCTGGTCAATTTAAGCAGGTAATGCTTGTATGAATTTCAGAATTGTCTCTGTTCTTTGTTTTCATCTTTAAAAAGATTGTTTCAGCTGTTCTAGAAATCATTTATTCCCTTGTCAATCTTATGCTTTTATGATCTTTTGCAGGGAGGGGACATTCTTCCTAGTTATTGACCATTTCAATGATGAGAGTTCACATATATTATCTGAACTTAACTCTCATCCAAAAAGCCTTTTTCTTTACTTAAAGACAGTCATTGAGGTTCACTTATCTGGCACCTTCAACTTCTCTTATTTAAGAGAAGAAGAGAGTGTGGATGTCTATAGTGGAAGAAGGGGGAAAGATCAGTCAGAAGAGCTTGAAGCATACTTGGAAAGAATCTCCAATTTCCCTAAGTTCCTGCGAAGTAATCCTCTAAATGTAACTGATGACATGATTGAGCTTTATTTGGAGGTGAGTGCGTATGTATTGTAGCGCTCTTTTCATAGCATACAACTGCCCACCTCCCCTGCTGTCCGATAGAAATGCATGGCTTTAAGTCACATTGTATGGCTTCCATTATTTGTAGTATTATTCAATTTTCTTTTTATTTTATCCTTTGTTAATTTTAAGTTTTCAGGTTGAAGGAAAATAACAGGAAAGGAAATTGAGTACTGAGTTAAAATGTTTGTTCTAATAATTTAGGTTGGCCACTTTTCTTGATCATGCCACCTCTGATTTTCCTTTTGCAGTTATTATGTCAGTTTGAACGAGATTCAGTTCTCAAGTTCTTGGAAACTTTTGATAGCTATCGAGTTGAACATTGTCTACGCCTTTGCCAGGAATATGGAGTAATAGATGGGGCTGCATTTTTATTAGAAAGGGTTGGTGATGTTGGTAGTGCTCTTTTACTTACACTGTCTGGCCTTAATGATAAATTTACACAACTAGATACTGCTGTCGGAAGTGGCATCTCTAAAGTTTCTTTAGGTGGATCTGCCAGCATGGAGCATTTCAATTCTGTTTTAAAAATGGAGGAGGTTTGTAGTATACATCTCCTGGATTACGGAATAGTTAAGATCTTTAATGTCATTTTTGTTGGATGACTGGAAACCTTGATGTTATTACTGATGTTTATCAAATAGGTGAATGATATATGCAATACATTGCATGCCTGTATTGAATTGTGCCAGCGGAATACCCCTCGTTTGAATCCAGAAGAGTCTGAGATGCTTTGGTTTAGATTACTTGACTCGTAAGTTCAACATATTGTTTGATTTGCTTTTCTTCAGAATTTAAGCCTTCTTTTTTATGTTGTTTCTGTTCTGTTAAGTATTTATGTAGGAGTTGTGTAAAACTAGTAATTTACTTAAGACAACTGAAAATGCATCATATTTCCCCATTTTCCTTATATAAATTTGAAACTCGATATTTGGCACAAATCATGATAGCACAGTGGATACAGTCATCTAGTTTTTTTTTATCCTTTGAAAGTTAATGCAGTCAGCTAGTTAACTGGAGATTCTATTTTATGTGATATAAAGAGCACTTCTATGGTAAAATACCTTCAAATGATTGAAGTTGAAGAGAGAGAGCCTTTAAATCTATAACAAAGAAGAAAATAAAGTAAGGTATATGAGGTATTTGGGCAGAAGATAGGAACAAGAGGAAGGGTGAAAAACCGCTATAATCTCCAAATGTGCGGGCATGTTTATCTTTCGTATGCTTACCATCGTCTGATTTTCAATGCAGATTTTGCGAACCTTTGATGGGTTCACACTGTGAAGAAAGGGTATCTGAGACGGAAAATCATGTGGGAATGCTGGCTGAATCATCAGGTTCTCAAGAGGAAGAGGACTGCATAATCAAGTGGAGGATCCCAAAATCTCACAAAGGTAGTCATTTATTGAGGAAATTGTTCTCTCAGTTCATCAAAGAGATTGTTGAGGGAATGATAGGATATGTTCGACTTCCAACTATTATGTCCAAACTCCTATCTGATAATGGTAGCCAGGAATTTGGAGATTTTAAGCTTACCATATTGGGAATGCTGGGAACATATGGCTTTGAAAGAAGAATTCTGGTATGTTCCTTTATTTTGAATATCAAGATAGTTTATGTTCTTCTAATTGAATTCACTAGAAGTCTTATTTTATCTTTATCTTTTTTTAAAATATATATATATATATACCATGAAGCACGAGTCTGCCATTAACTTGCACCACATGCTACAATTTGTCCCTGGAAATAGGATAGTGCATTACTGGGCCATACAAATAGTCCTTGATGACTATAAATTTGCTTACGTATGTGTGAATTTCAGTTTGTCAATGTAATACTCCCAACGTGTTCCAGTTCATGGTCTGAACTAACTCAGGAACCTTTATTCTCAGGCCACATCTCAAAGCTTCAAATTGTTTCTCACAGCAAATGCTATAAATCTAGAATTGGGTGCATCTAAAATGAAACAAAAACCATGATTCTGTAGGCATGTTGTAGATACTACACAGATATACATAATTAGGCAACAATATATGCGGCAAGGCTTTATTTCTGAATTGTCATTTGACTTCACTGAAATTACCGTTCCTCACCTTCCCTTCTAAGTTGGATTTGGTAGCAACTTAGTAGTACTCTTCTTTTCGGTAATAATTTGCTCTGAGTAATTCTAATGTTAATATTTTGGGTGAATATTTTTTATGTTAATTTTAGTTGTTGCTTTTTTTTTTTTTAAATTTCAGGATACTGCCAAATCTTTGATAGAGGATGACACGTTCTACACCATGAGCTTACTGAAGAAGGGAGCTTCTCATGGATACGCCCCCCGAAGTTTACTGTGTTGTATATGTAACAGCATTCTTACCAAGAATTCTTCTAGCTTTCGAGTTCGAGTTTTCAATTGTGGTCACGCAACTCATCTTCAATGTGAGCTTCTTGAAAATGAGGCATCAACTAGGGGCTTCTCTTCTGGATGCCCTGTTTGTTTGCCTAAGAAGAATACTCAGAAGTCTAGAAATAAATCTGCTCTTACAGAAAATAGTTTAGTTAGTACATTGCCCTCAAGACCCCTACCAGCACAAGGATCAACATTATACCCTCACGAAAGTGATGCACTAGATAATTCTCATGGCCTTCAGCAAATATCACGGGTAACTCTATATTCTTCTAATTGTATCTGTTTGCTGCTTTTGTCGGGCAATTGCATTAACCATATTCTATTTGGATTTTTGCAGTTTGAAATCTTAAGTAACCTTCAAAAAGACCAGAGATTAGCCCAGATAGAAATTTTGCCTCAGTTGAAGCTTGCACCTCCGGCTATTTATCATGAAAAAGTGAAGAAAGGGAGTGAACTTTTAGCAGGAGAAAGCAGCAGTCATCTTGGGCCAATAGAAAAACCAAGTAAAAGCAAGCAACTCAGGGAGCTAAAGTTAAAGGGATCATCATCTCTCAGATTCCCACTAAAATCAAGTATATTCGGTGAGTTCAGTTATTGCTAACTTGATTTGCTAGATATCTTTCTATCTCGTTTGTAGGATTGAGGGAGTTTTTTTTTTGCATTAGCAGGTAAGGAGAAAACAAGCAAACGATAGGATCATTGGCATATATGTATATACTAACGATACTCGAGATGAAGTGCCTCTGATGCTGTACCCTGTAGCTGTTGGAAAAATTGCGATTATTAAATCCATGATAATTGGCATTTGTAACCCTCGTTTTTTTTTTATATTTATTTGTATCAAATATGAAGATTGTGGTGATTGCAAATTACTTTGTAAATATGAAAAATTTTGTACATGTATCATGGAAAGATCATTTCATTGAGATTAAGTTTAAAATCAAATCAAAGTGAAGTAGTACTTGTCCTGGACAAATCTTCCCTCGTATTACTCCACCTACATGATGCATTAAATATATAGTACTAATTAGTTTGTGAAATGTTGGAGTAAGTTTCCACAGAAATATAATATCGATCACTGGACCCTCAGTAAGACAGTTTCTTGCTTCTGGTTATGTAAACAAAAACAAGTTTGTACACATCTTTCAAGATGAAACAAGTTAAAAACAATGAACGTTAAGGGAAGGGCCCAACCGGGTTCGAACCGGTGACCTCTTGATCTGCAGTCAAATGCTCTACCACTGAGCTATGGCCCCGCGGCGGCGCGTGCCGCGACGGGGCCGGCCGGCCGGGCCCGGCGCCGGGGCGTCTGGGGCCGGGGCGCGGCCGGGCGGGCGGGGCGGGTGCGACGATGGGCGCGCGGGCCGGTGCGCGGCTCGCGCGGGCGCCGGCGGCGGGCGCTGCGGGGCCGGGGGGGCGGGGGCCGTGGCGGCCGGCGGGTGGGCGGCGGGGGCGGGGCCCGCGGGGCGGCGGGCGCGTGGCGCCGGCGCCGCCGCTGGCGGGGTCCCGGGGGGGCCGGGCACCGGACTGCACGGCCCGGCTCGGCGGCGCCGGGGGGCGCGGCGCGCTGGGGCGGGCGGTGGCGTCGCGGCCCGGCCGGCGTGTGAGGCGGGGGGGGCGCGGCCGTCGCCGTGGCGGGCGGTGCGGCCCGCGCGGCTTGGGGCGCGGGTCCCGCGCCGGGGGCGGGGCGCGGGGGCGCGCGGGGCGGCCCGGGCGAGGCGGGGCGGCGGCGCGGCGGCGGTCGCGGCCCGGGCCGGGCGCCGCGGTCGGCGCGGGGGGGTCGCTGCGGCGGTTCGCCGGCCCGGGCGCGGTCGGACGCCGGCGGGGCGGCGAGCGTCGCGCCCGCGGGCGGCGCGGCGCTGGACCCTCGGCGATGAGGGAAGACATTTCTTTTATACAAAGTTTTAAAATTTTTTGATTGAACAGAACAAAAACCTCATCCACTAACTTAGCCCCGCGTTGGTAGGAGGATGAAGTTCAATGCAAAGTACATATGGCCTTTATCAAGTTCGATGCCCACATAGCCAAAACATGAAACTTGGCGAGACGCTAGGGACCAAATAGATTAATAATAATTGCTCAACGATACCCAACTTTTCCACATGTTTTGCGTTTGCCTCTTCCTTTTTTTGAACCAACGAATTGAGAAATTGCAGTCAATTTATGTATAGAATCAATAAAAAAAAATGAGTTTGTTTATTTTATACATGCAATTAATCTTAAGACCATATGATGTTGGATTCTATTACAAAGGGTCCTCTTTTCTTGTTTGAATCAAACCAAAAAGTTAGAGCTCTTTTCACTCACTGTTTTGTACAGGTTTCTACTATTACAACTCTTCAAATTAAATGATCTCAATTAAAAACAATCCCAACCTTAACTGGAACCTATTACTAACTACATGTGGTGTCACATGTACCATAACTGGTTCAAACTTAAAAATACGATGGAACTTGAAAAATAGCAAGAGACAAACGACATCGTTTTATAAAAATGGACTGGAGCATTTCCAATATTGACAAGAAACACGCACCTTCTGAGGCGTCAATAAATGCAAAGGCAGCAACAAGAATCACAAATTTGAATGTCTTCCTAACTGACTTTACAAAGTCGCATGTGTGTTCAGGTGTGTCGTTAAGTTTGGTGGCTCTCCCTTTCTTTTCTACTTCATCATTCTCCCGACGCTCCCTGCCAGGCGATTATTCCCACGCCCTTTTCCCTCGTATCTTCCGCCCCCATTATTCCTTTCCCCCTTCCTCTCGTTTATATCGGTCCCCCCTTTCTTTCATTTCCTCCTTCACCTCCCATTTTCTCTGCTTTCCTCCTCCCCCGCTACACTCCCATCAGAAACCAAAAAAGAAGCCGAAAAGTAGAGGGGTAGGAAATGTCTGGCGCTTTCTCCGCAGCCAAGTTCACCACCCAGCCTTTCCTCTCCACACCACTTCCCCCAGATCTCACGACAAGCCCCTCAATATCCCCAGCGCCACCTCACCGTTCTTCGGATCCTCCCGCAAACTCCGCCTCATTCTTCTTCCAAATTGAATCTCCACGTCGATCGGGGACTGTCGTCGCCGTCTCCGATGTCGTCAAGGAAAAGAAATCCAAATCCACCCCCAATCTGGTAACCCCATTTTTCTCCTTTTTTTTCTGTTAAAGTTGTTTCATAACAAATCTAGATTTTTATTCAATTTCGATTATTTTTTCAGTTAATTACAAAAGAAGAGGGATTGGTATTGTACGAAGATATGGTATTAGGAAGAGCATTTGAAGATATGTGTGCTCAGATGTATTACAGGGGCAAAATGTTTGGTTTTGTTCATCTTTACAACGGCCAAGAAGCCGTTTCCACTGGTTTCATTAAGCTCTTAAAGAAAGAAGATTCTGTCGTAAGCACTTACCGTGATCACGTGCACGCCTTAAGCAAAGGCGTCCCTGCACGTGCCGTCATGAGCGAACTCTTCGGCAAGGCCACCGGCTGCTGCCGCGGCCAAGGTGGGTCGATGCATATGTTTTCGAGCGAACACAATTTGCTTGGTGGGTTTGCATTTATCGGTGAAGGGATCCCCGTTGCCACGGGGGCGGCTTTCACCTCCAAGTATAAGAGAGAGGTTCTGAAGGAAGCGGGATGTGATCATGTCACGTTGGCGTTTTTCGGGGATGGGACTTGTAATAATGGGCAGTTCTTTGAGTGTTTGAATATGGCCGCGTTGTGGAAGCTGCCCATTGTGTTTGTCGTTGAGAATAATTTGTGGGCTATTGGGATGTCGCATTTGAGGGCTACTTCTGATCCTCAGATTTATAAGAAAGGACCGGCTTTTGGAATGCCCGGTATTCATGTCGATGGGATGGATGTTTTGAAGGTGAGGGAAGTGGCTAAGGAGGCAATTGGCAGGGCTAGGAGAGGAGAAGGTCCAACATTGGTGGAATGCGAGACATATAGGTTTAGAGGACACTCATTGGCTGACCCTGATGAGCTTCGCGACCCTGGTAAGCATTTCGTTATCTTTGCTTTTGTTGGTCTATTATTTTTATGATTGCAATAGTTAATTGTAGTCATCGGCTTTTTACTTTATGATTCTGTTTCCTGAATTAGGTTGTTTTGATTGAGCTATTATTACATTACAATTTTTAATGGTAAAACAAGAACAGCCTGCATGCATGTATCTTTTACCGTGGCTGTAATCTGGGCTTAAAGTTGAAGCGATTACTTTGGTTTTTGTTTTTTCACTTTGTATGTTGTGTTAAAAGCATGTCCAAGTGAATTAGGGATGTAGAGGGAAATTGTGCATTTAACTTCTGTTGTTATTTTGGATCATAAGAGTTTATAAATGTACCCTTTTTCAATTTCTTGGTTCTTCTTTGGCAGCTGAGAAGGCTCACTATGCTGCAAGAGATCCAATCACAGCCCTGAAGAAGTATCTAATTGAGAACAGTCTGGCCAGTGAAGCAGAGTTAAAGGCCATAGATAAGAAGATAGATGAGATGGTCGAGGATTCTGTTGAGTTTGCAGATGAAAGCCCCCCTCCTCCTCGGAGCCAGCTGCTCGAAAATGTGTTTGCCGATCCAAAAGGTTTTGGAATTGGACCTGATGGCCGATATAGATGTGAGGATCCAAAGTTCACCGAAGGCACTGCTCATGTCTAAACTTTGGAAGTAGGACCATGATCAAAATCTATTTACGCTCACATTTTGTTATTGCATTCTCATATATTTAGTTACTGCTAGAAATTTCTTGTCCCCTTCTTTGTAGTGTTTCTTGTGTAACCAGTATGTCTTCTTTAGGTTGTTTGTCTATTTAAAATTTTGGTTTCATAATTTAATTTCCATTGTTTCTTGGACATGTGCTTTGAGTGGCAAACCCCGAAGGGTTGGTTGGCCCTATTTCCTGCCTTGCTGACAGTTTGATGGTTTTCATATTTTGCATTTGCTATTAAAGTTCCTTCCGTAAACTGACATTGCAGGGCAGCCACTTAACTCTTCCTAGATTTTCCTGTCAGCTAATGCAGTGCCCCCTTTTGGGAATCCCTAGGATTTGCCTTGGAATTGTAGTGGGTGTAACTTTACATGCATGCTTAGTGGAGTAGTTTTATAGTCCTAGTAATATATGTAGGGATGGCAACTTCTTCAAAATACAAAGGAGTTTCTGCTTTATGAAAATGATGTAAGCATGTTTTGTTCTTGGTTTTATTTGTGACTAGGGAAAGAATTGTACACTATATTATCTTTACTATATTTGTAATCAATGAAAGTAGGTAAGTTTTTCATACCTTAAGTTATTGTCTCTTTCCTTGTTAATAGGTGAGCGTGGCTTTGTTGTTTTCTTGTTTGCCTAAGGGCCGGTTCACTGATGGTAACATGCATAAAACATGGCAGTCTCTTTTCAAAAAGAATCGGCTTCTTTATGGTCTCTTTTAATGGCCTAAAAGGACAGTTGGGCCGCTCAGGGTTTAATGGATATCAGGCTTAAATCCAAGCTGAAGGTAGCATAGCTTCACTTAAAAAAATTAAAATTACACAATTTTTGGCAGTTGTGGCTACATGCTACACGTAATTTAGGAACTCTTTGTTTAATTGAAATAAATAAATTGCTACAGATTTCATCAATATTTTGGTTTCGTTCAAGTTCTGACAAGAAAACACTGCATACTTTATTACAATTACTGCGGAAGTTGGAACCATTTTCCTACGGAACACCAGGAATTAAGCCCCATTGGTAGTGGCAAATAGGTAACGGTTGCCTAAAATTTCTTGGAGAAGCTTTCACAACAGTAACCAACAATCTGATTCTAATGTTGGAGCTTCAAGAACCTTGATACCAGCCAAAAATTAGGTGGACCATGGAAATTCTTTGTGAAAACTGTCATAAAGTGCACCTATATTCAATCAAACCGCCTGTTATCAATGAAAAATACCATAAGCTTCTGTTGGTGGCTTTTCTATGGATCCAAAAATCACTTAGCAAATTGCATCTTTTCAAGAGGCTCCGTAATGGGTGGCTAGAACAGCCAATCTTCCACATACCCTGCAATCATCGAATAACAATAACAAGCAACTACAAGCAATAATATGACTTTTGACTACTATTGCCAACATTTTTGAATTGCTTTAACAAGTTAGTACCAACACTCGCCAAAAAAATATATAACTAGGCCGGAAAAGCATTGAATGCCCCTAAATCTCGGTCTAGTTCAGTGCTAAAATTTCCATCACCGCCGCATATTGGAGATATAGATACACGGAAAGATAGTTTGATGGATTTTTTCCAACCAGGAGAATACAGGTTCCAGCCATAAGGAAGCCCAGCTCGCTCACCGACCACTTTTAAATATGTTGCATCTGTTCTCCAATGTTAAATTAATGGGGACAAGTACAACTCTAGTGTGGTGAACCGGAAGGAGGCAACGTACATATAAATGGATCCAGAGTAGGGCTTAAATGGAAGTCCATTTTTCCTCCTAAAATGGCCATTCATCTCAATTTGTGAACCACAATGGGCTCCCCATTCCTTCATTTGGAAGGTCATTGTATCTGAGTGCAGGAGCAAGCACACTGAGCTAATTTTAGGGTTCGGCCCAGAGGACCTCTCAATGCCTTAGCTTCAAAGTTCTTATTTCACATATACTGGCCCAGGTGGGGGAGAATGGAAACAAGCACAACGGCAGAGCTCACTACTACTGAAACTTGTAAGCTGTTTTTGGAAGGATGAATTGCTTACGGCAAGGCATCTATTGATTCCCTCCAATTGGGTCAGACAATGAGTGTGATAATTTACTTCAGGGGCAAAACTCTGGTTTAATCTAGGGATGGACCAGAAGCAATAGAAGTTGAAAACAATCTCTCCTAAAGAGAAAGCTTTGCTCGTAGCTGGGCTTGGGTGTTGAAGGGTGAAGCAAATTAGAACATTGTTGCTCCTAGAGTGATTCCTGGGCATCCTTACCCCACCTCCATCCCTTGAATCAAGGATGTAGTCGATCTAGCTAAAGCCAACCTAGTTTAACCTTGTGCAAAGAAAATATTGTTCTCTAGAGTTATAAAAGTTCAAATTCATATACATAGGGGCAAATCATTTAACAAAGCAAACAAAGAATATGACTAAAGAAATGGGAAAGCCAGGCCCATACATGGATTAAGAAAATTCAAAGATTCCAGATATTGAGGGCACATAGCCAATTAAATTTGCAGTATCTGTAATGCTACTCAAGGTCTCTTTGATCTAGATCGTATTTTCCTAATCAGGTAATCCTCCAATCCAGTGCCTGCGTCTACTATTCTTGTGTCTCGTTTTATTTCTACCTTCATAACATCTTCTAGAATTTCCCCCATTCTCTCCGTTTCATAGTCTTCACAAATCCTAGGAATTATCAATACCCAAGTATCCATATGCGGCACTTCCCCATACTTCAGCATTTCCCCAAACACTCCAATAGCTTCCTCAATCTTACCAACATTACAAAACCCTTTGACTAAAGCATGAGAAACCGAAAAATGTGGAGAAAACCCCTTTATTAACATTTCCTCCATATACTTTTTAGCCTCATCAAACATCCCTTGATCACATAAACCCCCTACCAAAGTCCTATAAGAAACCAAATTCGGCAAACATCCATTTGAAGGCATATCCTCAAGAACCTTAACCGCATCCAGAGCTCTCCCTTCTCTACAGAAACCCAATATAACCGTATTATAATGCACAATATCAGGATTACACCCTTTGACTTTCATTCTACAAAGAAGTTTATAAGCTTCCCTAAGCTTCTTCTTCCTACACAAACTATTCAACAAGGTAGTATAACTCAACGAGTCCGGTATGAACCCTTTATTCAACATATCTTCCAACAAATCCACAGCTGTATTCACTTGACTCTTCCTGCATAACCCTTGCATTAATATCCTATACGACTCGACATCAGGCACAACATCTCTCTCAAACATTTTGTTGAAAAGTTTGTAAGCAACACTCAAATCCCCGTTCATACAGAACGCACCCATTAAAATATTGTAAGATTTCGTATTGGGTAAAACCCCGTGTTTGTGAGAGTTCTTGAAAAGGTCAAAGGCAGGCATCAGAAAGTTACGATGAGAAACAAGCAGTTCGAGAATGCGATTTAAGTGTTTGGGTAAAGGCTTGATATTGAATTCAAGCATCTTGTAAAATGTTTTGAGAGCCCTTTCGGGTAAATTTGCTTCGGCGTAGATTTTGATAAGGTAAGAAAACAGAGTCGGGGTTACAGGGTACTTGTCGGATTTAAGGCGAATGAGAAGGTCGTCGACGAGAGAGAAGTGTTTGGATCGGCCGAGTTTGAGAATGAGGACGAGAAACGACGAGTAAGAGTGGCGAAAACCGAGTTGATTAGAGGCGTAGTCGAAGATTTCTTTGGCGAGGAGAGCGTCGGACTGGGCGGATATAAGTTTTTGAACTCGTGCCGGGGAACCAACCGGGGAAGTGCAAGTACGAGGTGGCTGTTGTTTGTGGGGTGGGCCCGGAGAGGAGGAGGAGGAGGAACGGAAGATAAGAAATGGAGGTTTTGGCGGGAAGGTGAGTGAACGAGAGACGGTTTTGGAGGAACTAAAGAGACCTTGCTGCATTTCTTTGTTGTCTGGTTTCCGTCGGCGAGAAATGAATAATGATACATTCCAGTTACACATAATAGGCTACAAGCGGCAGAAAATTTTGAAACCCTGCACAGACAACGGAGGTTTAAAATGCGTTGGTGCGATCGCCGCCCAATGAAATTAGTAGTATGGGCTACGGCTGTTCTCGGGTCCAGCTACTTATCCGGGGTATCAAGCTGGACTCGAAACGGGCCGAGCTCAAGCATTGTTTTCGAGTTTGAGCAATTCCTTAATCCAAATGGTTATTTCATTAGAGAAATTTGTCATGCAAACTACGAATAAGCCCACTTTGGCAAATAAGTTGCTTGCAGCATCTTAAACTTAAACCCCTTGGTTTGGTTCATAGTAATAAAAATCTACTTGACCAGAGGGAGCCCTGCAATAGTCTCTTGTTTTCAAAAGTATTCCCCGCAATTAGTACATGACTTTCACAACTTGAGGCAAAGTCTCTCTCATGATAGCACCGAGACCCTTTCTGAGGCATCAAGACGTTTCACATCACACTGAATCACGTTTTCCCTCGAGTCCTTGCTTTGTTTCTAAACGCGACCACTTCTCACTTTGCTGTATGGAATAACCCTGCTTCACACTTTTGGCACTTCTTTGATCATTCATGCATGATGCATTCCCTCCATTCCACAACTAATTAATGGCTAGTTTATTCAGCCGATTAATTAGTTCCTCTAGATAATAAAAATAAATGAATAAATTTGAGTGATTTTTCATTAGTGTTATTTTGAAAATAAATCTATTCATGAATGGAGTACATGAATTGTTAATTTTTTTCCTTTTAATATTTGGAGGAAAGAGGATTCGAACACTATATTTTAAAAAAAAATTATATATAAATTAATAAGTTAAATATTTAAATATAAATAAATTATTAATTATACATATTCATTTTTAAAAATTAAATTTGTCGATTCTCACAATACAATTTTGTTTTGAGCACTACAAGCTTTTTTATTCAATAGTAAGGTATTTTTAATGGCATCCAATGAAATTATGAAATAAATAAAATATAATTTAATAATTTAATTGAAACACCCTTTTTGACTATTTCCATTTTTGCAACTCCATTTCCTATTTCCAATTTTTTCTCATTTGTTAGGTTTCATATGAAAAACGAAGTTACCAAAAGGACGGGCATGAGGCCGTGGGACACCTACTAGTTGTAGACATTTTCATGCAAAACATATTACCCTTTTGAATTGTCTGCCCAAACCATTTGTATTTTAGAAATGCTTACTTTTGGTTTTTCTTTTGTTCATAGAAAAAGACAGCTCACCATGGAAGAGAAGAGTTCCCATCTTGCAAGATATGAAATGGGCGGCCCGTATACATTGCCCAAGCTTTGTAACTATTGTTCATCAAACACTTGTTAATATCTTCCGCCTTTCTTTTGCTTTGTCATCCACAATTGGTTGGCGTTGAACAATGAACCAATTATTTGTAGCCTTGATCAATTGAAGCGGTAATTATTGGCATCACATGGGTTATATTTAAAGAGCTAATCTTGATCACTGGTCCATAATATGCCACGTCAAATTGTGTCTATAGAGCACATACTGATCAACCACGTGTTTTTCTTTATTTTTTTTATTTTTATTAATCAAACAGAAATTGCCGCCATTGGGACAAAGGAGGACGATATGAAACATAAATTCTGCACTTAAGTTGTCTGAGTGTTGCTCGCGTGTTACTGATGGAGAGAGACACCGGAGTCGAAAAAGTACCTCGTTAAAACGACTGGATAGCAGCGCACGCTGCTCGCCACGCGCTCCATGGATCATCCACTTAATACAGGCTACACTAGTCATAGTCGTTGCTTATATCCTAGACTATTTATTGGCTCTTTCCCTACTTTGTATTAAAGGTTTTGTTAACCAAATTTTAAAAAATTATTAATTTTTAATACAATGAAATTATTTACATTAATTATTGGGCTAATATTTATAAAAAAATGATTATAAATAATAGCTTAACTAACTTTGAAAAACATCTTAGAATGTTTATTAAGAAAAATGAAAATGTGGGGCATTTTGGCCTAACTAGTAATATTTTTCTCAATTATTTGGGCATTATTGGGAAGAATCCTAATCAATAAAATATAAAGTTAAAATAAGGTGGTGCAATATTAGTATTAGTAATATTATATTACCAGTAAAAAATTCTATAAAAGTCTAAGTGGTATGAGTCACTATGACTCTATGAGAGAATTGGAGCAAGAGATTCCATCAATTATAGTGTTTTGATTGGACCCAACAACTAATCTTGTATAAAGCTCCCTTATTTTAGCAAATAAAAAAAATAAATGTCCCTTCAGATATTTGCCAGATTAAAGCATTTGCTTGACCATCCATTAATGCCTTCACCTATAAAAACATTTACTTTGCCAAATTATATTCTCTGTTTGTTTTTTTAAAGAAAGGGGTGTCATTTTATATTTATTTTTTGCAAATGCCAAGCTCACTAAAAAAAAAAATGCTACTTCAAGGAGAGGGTCATCCCCCAAACAGATACTATTATTATTATTTTTTCTTTTTTCAGTGTGGACATTTCATTTCAATCTTTCTATCATCATTCAAATATAAAGAAAAATAAAGAGTACAACTTGCTAACCAAGAAAGGAGGGCCCACCTTATCAACAGCCTACTTGTAGCTATTATGGTTATAAAGGAAAAACAATCAAATCCACAGTAAGAAAAGAAAAAGCAGATAGACAGATGTAGCAAGCAATGAGCAGGAAAATAAATAAATAAAACCCAAAAAGAAAGCTCTAAGCCACAAACGCCAGATTCTCTTAAACGATCCACGTGTCGCATTTCCCCACCATGAGATCCCAAGTGTGGTATTGGTATGCCAACGTGGCAGCAGTCACCAAAAAATATCTTCCCTCGAACATCCCGCACCGGCCCAACACGTGTTCCCTTTCCCTCTTCCTGCGGCCCCCACCCAACAGCGTGGACGAGCACAACCACATCATCGCAGTGCCGTCCCCACACAAACCCCCAAAAAAATCAATAACAGTGGCCCGTATTGCGCCACGTCATCTTACCAACCAGGAGCCAATGGCGGCCCACGATTTGATCTGACTCACTCCCCCGGTTTTTTTTTAAGAGGAAAACAGAAAGTCTTCGTTTCTTCTTTCCTTTTGTTATTCAAGAAGAAGAAGATATTTATGCGGTTTTCGCGGTCCTGAACGAAAGTTGGCTAATCAAAATTTTAGGCCGTTTTTGCTTCTCTCACTTTTCAGATATTTCTACAGTTTTTTAGTTAATGATGAGTTTATTTGGATAATTTCACTGCAAAAAAAAAAAAAGGCTTTCTTTCTATCTCCTTCAGCTCACTCTGCTTTTCTTTTTACTGAGAAATTAGGGTTTTCTGTTTTGGTGTTACCGAGCAGGGTGTTTGAGAATGGGTGAAGTTGGTATGGAAGTGGAAATGGAGGTAGGGACGGCGGAGGAGAGGAAGAAAAAGACTAGGAACGAGGAAAAAGATGGATCTTCGGAGGTTGTTAGGTGGGAAAGGTTCTTACCTCGGATGGTTCTCAGAGTTTTATTAGTTGAAGCCGATGATTCCACTCGTCAGATTATTACCGCTCTTCTTCGAAAATGCAGTTACAGAGGTTTCTTCTTTACCTTTCCTTTTTGCATTTGATTAGTATTATAATCATTATCTCTAGATCTACATGCTATGATTATATTCGAATTAAAATTGTTGGTTTAATTTCCCCTGTTTTAGTTATATCTAATTTTCATTTGTTTTTCTTAGTAGTTGCGGCAGTTCCTGATGGTTTAATGGCATGGGAGACTTTAAAGGGTGGACCGCATAATATTGATCTTATATTGACTGAAGTAGAGCTGCCATCGATATCTGGATTCGCGCTTCTTACTTTGGTCATGGAACATGATATTTGCAGAAATATTCCTGTTATAAGTATGGACTTCCTACTAACTTTGTTGTTGCTCTGCCATCTTTAATATTGTCTTTCAAACTTAAATTATCCTTGATTACATATGAAGCTAATATGTTAAAGTTTAATTTTATCTTTTGGTGATTAAAACAGTGATGTCATCGCATGATTCAATTAGCATGGTTTTGAAGTGCATGTTAAAAGGTGCAGCTGACTTTCTTATCAAGCCTGTGCGGAGGAATGAGTTAAGGAACCTCTGGCAGCATGTTTGGAGAAGACACTCGGTATGCTCAACGTTTGGTTCTGTTTTTCTCTGTTCGAACCAATCATTTAACTTGGATTGAACCTTTTGTATTTACTTTAATTTTTACCAGCTAGGTGGTGGACGTGTTCCTCATAATCTTCCTGCTACAGAACATAAAGTTGAAGCCACAGCTGAAAACAATGCTGAGAGCAATCAATCGAGTGATTATGGATCTTCTACACAGAAAAATAAAGAAGGAAGTGATACCCAAGTGAGCATTTTCTTATCTTGTGATATAGGTTTAATAAGGGCTTGCGGATGCTTCTACTGAGGTCACTATTTATATGCTATCAGCCCACTGGAGTTGTAATCTAATGGTTTAGCCGTTTTCATGATTTTGCAAAACTTTCATAACATCCATGTCCATGACATGTAGTGTTCTTTGAGTGTCCCATATCCAAGGGAAGTTAAACTCATTAGGTGTTTGCAATATGACAAGCTAAGTATCAGTTGAGATCTATTTGATTTTATCTGGGGCCATAAGTCGTGTATTCATGATGCAACGCATATGTGAGGCTACTTATAGTGTGAGGAAAATTTCTTTTTGAGATTAGGTTGGCTTCGTGAAGTTTCACGTAGAGACTGCATGTTTTGCCATCTTTTGTGCAGAGCTCTTGTACAACGCCTTTCTTGGAAGCTGAGAGTACATACATGCAAAATATGCAGGGTCTTTCACAGCTGAAGTGTACGAGTGCAAATTTTAGTGATGCAAGCGGAGAGCAGCTAGGAAATGTTATCAAATTGTGTCAAGAGTCACTTCAAGCTAAGGGTCAAGCTGAAGGTGTGTTGTCATCTCTTTTTACCCTATTTTACATTTTTTTATTTTCCTTTTCTAATTTCAGCTAAATGAAAGAAAATTGCTTTCCTGTTTATGACGAGGGATGTCTGACAAGCTATTTGTTTCAGAAAATTCAAATAGATTACAAAAGGAGGTTGCTCATTGCAGTGTCGCTTGTGAATCAACTGCATCTAAATTGGAAGAAAACCCTGCTTCTGTTAAAGGGATGACTCATGATACCGCTGTTCGACTACAAAGTGATAGAGAAAATGAGAATGTTATGATTAGAGTTGGCTGCAATGATGAGTTAGTTGGACCTCCAACTGGAGCTATTGACTTGATTGGTTCATTTGATAATCAACCAAAGGGCACTTTTGGGCTTTCTATTTTAAGTGATGGTGCAAACAAGTTTGAATTTTCTCCACTGTTGGAGCTTTCCTTGAGAAGATCTTGTTTAAGTAGCACTAAGAAGCAAGGTACCGGTGAAAGGCCTACACTAAACCATTCTGATGCATCGGCTTTTTCATGGTAACTTTCTGTTTCCTTTCTTTTATTTACTGTATAATTGAGCTTGAGGTCTACAGATGATTAGGCTAAATTGAGATGCCATTCTGTTGTTGATCTTTGTTGGGGAAACAGAAAGAGTTGCTTTTTCTTCCGTTTTAATATTTTTTTTATTTGTCTCTCCATGTTTTACTATTTTTAGCAATTTTTTTTTGGCTATTCTGGAAAATCAGTGTTTCTTGGAACAACTATTTAATAGAAACATCTTCTGGAGAATTAGAGATTAGGTAAAGGTAAATCCTTGTACAATGCTGTTGAGGGCAGTGGAGGAAATTTAGAGGTGGCTACAGTGACATAGGTTAGTGAATACTCTGTGAAATTTCCAATAAAAGGGCCATAATTAAAAAGTATTATCAATTTGCCTACTTGTATTTTGAATTGAATGATATATGCAATTACCGTATCATATTTCAATTAAAATCTGCTTCCTGCATATATACAACTTGTACCTCCTTTTCTAGGATTGGGAAATAATCGCAAGTGAAATATATATAAATTTTCTAGGGACTGACTTAACCTGTCATGATCTTTGAGTGACCATTTCTTTAATTTGTTTGTGCCAAGTATTTTACTTGGTGGACCAGATTATCTCTGTAAACAGTTCATTGAAATTTGAAAGAAAGATGGCTGTGTGCGTTATCTCTATTCCTTGAATGTTATGTAGCTTGTCTTCTGATGATTGCTAAGTTTCTTTCTGCAGGTATAACAATAGCAAGTCATTACAGCCCATTTTCCCTACACGAGCTGGCAATAGAGCTGCATTGAAGGAGGGTGACAGTAAATCCGGACAGCACCTGGAAAGTAGCAATGGTACATCTCAACCTCATGTTGTTTTAGTGAGTGATAGTTGGGAGAATCTGCCCAGACCAGTCACAGGTCAATCTGAACTAACATGTCCAAGTGCCCAACTTGGGCTGATTCCTGTTCCAGGGGTAAGGTTGGATGATATGTATGCTGGATGTAAGAACGTTTTCCCACACGTTTATTATGCGCAGTCAGGTTTACCCCCCACATGGAGTCCCAAACCAGCTGGACAACGAGAATATTCTCCCTTTCCTGTGAGCACCTCAGTGCACTCTAATCTTGATGTTCATGACTCAGAACAAGGTTACCACCTGTCTGATGAAGCTACCAATTGTTCTATCGACCAGACTGATCGAGAGCAGAAGAAGCAGGAGCCTGTTGGGGAACCAAGGTGTGGTTCTTCTATTGCTAACCAGAGTGGTTGCAGTAGTTTATCTAATGGTGTTGTGAATCATGAAAACAGCAATGCACAGGGAGGTGTTTCGACTAGGAGCGATGCAAGTGCTAGTGCTACTTTTGTTGCAGCAGTTGATAATGGCACAATCACAGAGAGCTTCAATGATAGCAATTTCTTCAATCATGATGGATTGAAAGGGATGGATACTCATCGCTCCAGCCAAAGAGAAGCCGCTTTGACAAAGTTCCGACTTAAGCGGAAAGATCGATGCTTTGAGAAAAAGGTATCTTATTACTACTATTATTATGGTTGTAATTGGTTTAGGATAAACTCAAGCTTTGCATATGGGAATATGGTTATATGCAGACAACAGTGTACATTTTTTCACCTAAATGTGGGTTGGTCTCACTTAACCACAGCCGCTCTCTCTGCCCAGTCTTATCAAATTGGTGCCATCTAACCCATCATTTATGTTTGCCCAAGTATTATTATTCTAACTGGTCTTTTCTTTCTTTGATATATGCTCTGCTGTAGCTACAAGTATTTTTAACTTTGCTCAGAAGCTCAAATTTTAATTTGCTTCAAAATCCAAACAACTTAGATTCAGAAGACATACCCTGTCAACCTCTTTAGAATGAGTTAACGTCCTGTTTTGCTCCATAGTGAGAAAAGGAAATCAGAAAGTAACAAGTTTATAGAGGCTTATTTAATTCTTTAATGAGTAACTTTTTTTCACAGGTTCGATATCAGAGCCGGAAAAGACTAGCAGAGCAGCGTCCGCGAGTGAGAGGACAGTTTGTCCGTCAGGTGCAGAATGAAACCCCCGTAGGTGATGCTGATGGCCCTAAAAATATGACGATACAAGCCTGCCTTTCCCACCGACTTGGAGATTGATTCTTGATCAAAGCATGAAACTATTCAATTTTCTGTTGCAAGCATATTCAACAAGTTTTTTGAAAGTAAAAGTAGGATCATGTCATAGCTGAAATATTTGCAAGCTTCTCTGGTAGCAATGGGCGAGGTTAGTTAGTGTTGTAATTATAGTGAAAGAGTTAGCATTGTAATTATAGTGAGGTAGTCTTGGTTCTTTTTCATCGTGGATTATGTATGATTGTATGCACATTGGACAACTGACTTATTGTAGTTTAGGCAGGTAGGTTGGTTTTATAACTTTGCTTCAAAAGGGTAATGTACGTATTGGTATGGTGTCTTTGACTCTTTTTCTTTACAACTTTGGTTATTCTACTGAATGATTTCTCTTTTAGACTGCGTAGGAGAGCTCTTATTCTGTATTTGCTATATAATGGTCTTACTATTCGCTGCCTTTTTTCTTTTGTATAAAAGAAAAATTGTACTTGGATTCAAATCTTCTGATTGTTGAATAGAGTCGAAATAGTTCTAGGGAAAGGGATAATCCTGAATTTCTATATCTCGGGAAACGCAGTTATGAGAGATTAATGTTTGATGAGATCATATGGCCCAGCCTCCATTGTGAAAGACTGGGGGCAAAAGGAAGAAACAAAAGGGGAGACACAAAACAAATTAAGTGGCAGAAGGTGAAGAAAGTGATTTTCAACTAAAATGGTAAAGAGAAGTGAAGCGAAATGCTTGACTTCTCACATGGAAGGAGGAGCAAAAAGCAGGGAGTTGTGACGTGTATGCGTGCACGTGGGTCCTGGTTGAATAGCCTTGGGATCTGGTGAATGACGAAGCATGAACCTATCGGAGCCAAGCATGTAGAAAAGGCGAAGAAGAGCCACCTATTCTTCTCATGCAGATACAGTTGGGGTAAGTACTTATCCATTTGTCGGTGCTGCTGCAGGCCACTGCCCGACCCTTTTTAGCGTACCATCTAGAAAGATAAATTACAAAGAAAAGAACCTATCTCTTGATCTCATTTCTCAAATCTCTTTCTCTTATCTTACCCACTAAAGCTCCTTTGTTTGGGACCCGGATTACCATCTTTAAATTACAAGCATGAAAAAACAAATTGAAGGTTAATGTGTTTTTTTCCATCACTTGGGGGAAATGCTTTGGAACTACACATTTTATTTACCTTTTCCCTTTCTCCTATTTGCTTCTATTTTCTTCTATCCTTTACATGAACAAAGTACCAAAACGTTTTCTAATATTGAACAAGGAGATTTGAGACAAATCATGAGAAATCACTGTCGTAATAATGGTATTAGTCCTCGTTAGGAAGTATATATATATATATCAATCCACAAATTAAGGGATAATATACTGCTGGCATCATGTAATGTCCTACTGACGCAAGGGCTAAAGCTAATGACGAACCATCGTACCACTGATCAGGTTCGCATTTCTATCAAACGTATGTTTTATCAAAATAAAATAATCTGAAAGTAATTGGATTACATATATATATATATATATAGGCGGTCAACATTGCATGACATTTCGTAGTTTTTGATGATGTATAAATGTTAACAGTGTACTGGGAAAATTAGAATGTTGATAAGTGTCTAAATAGAATATATTTATACAATTAAATCAATAAAAAAATTAAATTATTAAATGGGCATGTGTCATTTTTTTTAACTACTTTTGTGGAGTTTAGAATAATATATAATCCAATAATTATTAGAGATAAATCATAAAGAATCTTTTACAATTGATCTGTAGTGAATGCATGATTAATGATAACGAGGTGTGAAGCAATTAAAAGAGGAAACAGGAAGTATATATTCAACAAAGAATTGTCTTGGAGAGGGGTTTAAGAATCGGAGTGCAGTGTCTAAATAGTTGAATTGAACCTGTTCTCATGTGCATTATTAATTGCTTCATGGCAGTGCTTTACCCAATTTGCTTCCCTTTCACATCTCTTTTTGTTCTGGATATATAGCATTGTTTTCCCACTCCCTCCAAATAAGTTAGAAAGCAAAAGCAAGGGGTGAAAAAAGCTAAGAGAAAGAAAAGAGCACCCACATTGTCCTTAATAAAACACAAGAAAGAAATATCACTGGCAAGCATCGACCCAACTCTCCCTTCTTTTCCCTTCCTTTTTTGTTTCATTTGTCACACATATTCTTCTCCTCTATTTTTATTTTCCACATTGCCACTCGGCCCACCGTCACCACCCAGGAATCCTCCTCTCCCTTTCAGTTTCCATTCATCATACAGTAAAGGTACAAATTCCTTCACATTTATATTCAGTTTTCCATGGCAGACCAAGAGCAAACACAAGAGCAGCAACCTCAAAAGCCCAAAATGAACACAGATAAGCCACCTAACCCTACTAAATCCAAGCCATCGAGGTACAGCCAAGGAGGCGCAGCCCGCTCCTGTTGCTTATGTATTTTCATATTCCTCCTCTTGGCAGGGGCCACAGCCCTGACTGTTTGGCTCGTCTACCGTCCCCATAAGCCTCGTTTCACTGTTGTCAGCGCTGCTATCTATGAACTCAACGCCACCTCGCAACCCTTCATTTCCACTTCCATGCAGTTCACTATCGTTACACGAAACCCCAACAGGAGAGTCTCCATCTTTTACGAAAAGTTGCAAGCTTATGCCTCGTACAGAAACCAACAGATAACTCCTCCAGTGGACTTGCCACCACTGTACCATGGGACAAAGAGCACGGTGGCACTGTCTCCGGTGCTTGGTAGCGGGACGGTGCCGGCGTCGGCGGAGGTGGTGAATGGACTAATGACAGATGAGGCGTACGGGGTGGTGGCGCTGCGGGTGGTGTTGTTGGGGAAATTGAGATGGAAGGCTGGCGCCATAAGGACCGGGAAGTATGGAGTTTATGTGAAATGTGATGTTTGGGTGGGCTTGAAGAAGGGTGTGGTAGGACAGGTTCCTTTGCTTGGGGCTCCTCCCTGTAAAGTTGATATATGAAGTATGTGGAGATGCATATGTAAGGAGGCTTTTACCTTAAAAGCCTTTTCTGGGTTCATTAATTTTTCTGTAGCTTTGGTACTTTACTTTCTCTTAGTTTTGTAAACTATTTTATGTTTTTTATTATCTGTGGAAAGACAGGAAAAGAAAACCAAAAACAAGTTCAGGCACCGTGGCACAGTGGAGGAAACATGTACTACAAAGCAATGTGGTCAGAAAAATTAATGCAAAAAAGGGCCTTTTTCTTCTTGTTCATCTTCCATTCTTCTTCTTCATTTCTTTTTCCTATTCAGCGCAGCTTCTTCCACTGGTAAGACAGTGAAGTGGCTGATAATTGCTCTGAAATTGGTCTTTTTGTCGGTTTACAATATTTGGGATTGCCACCAAGGCGTCAAGGTTTAGACGCATGGCTCTACATGCAGCAAAGTTGGCCAACATCTGCTTTTATCTTTTGCTATGACTCCATCTGTCCCACCCCTGCCCACTTGCTTTACCTTCTATAAAGGTTGTAGTGTTATTGACATCCGTTTTGCTTTCTAATTAGTCTACTTTCATTAGTGGGTCTGGACTCCACAATAGAAAAAAAAAAAAAAAAGAGGAAAAAGAAAAGCAATGCTGTATACATAAGATTTAGTGGAGAAAAAAAGGATATTTGCATCGCCCTCACTACTTTATTACATAATTGACAGTACCATTCCTCACGTGAAAACTGAGACTAAGTATTTTTACTGACAAAGACACAAAGTTAGGGTTCTTTAATAAGGCGCCGAGAACCTTTCATTTTATGTATCCTTTCAATGTTATTTCCTTCATTTCCCTAACTTTATTAGTACCAGTTGCCTTCATAACTCATAAGGACCGCTCAAATCGTCTACCTATGTCTAGAATCTATTATTGTTGGAGTAATTGGTGTGGTCTCAGACCTCTTCTTCTACTTTTCGTTTTCCCTTTTTGTCTTCGGAACCTCTTGCGTTGGGCATAGCATCTACCCCTTTGCTTCACTGTTTTCGGATTCTCCACGTCAAGTGGTCACAGGAGGTATCAGATTCATGTTACTTAATTAAGGAAAATGTCAGAGACGTTACTGTCTGATATTATATATGTTCGAGTAGACATAAAAATTATTAATTTTAAATTTAAATAATAAAATGTATATTTAATTGAAAATATTTTAAATTAATTGTGTTAAATATGTTAAAAAAAATTATGTCAATTATTTACTTATATTTATTAATCGTGTTATGTTATAAAATTTTTTTTAACATATTTAATAAATGTATTAGTTATGTCCTGTTGTTATATGGTTATTAAACATATCATTATTATGTTTACTTATATATCTTTAATATTTTTTATATTAACATAATTAAAATATAAAAATACGAATTGTGATATTTATTTAATTATAATTAGTGAATACTGACAGAGATACTATGGGAATAATTAAACTAGTAAACTTGGGAATCAATCCTGGGAAGGACCTTAACTTTGTTGGCGAGTTAGGCAGGTTCTCTTTCAACATCAAAGTTAGAAGAAGTTGGTGGGCCAAAAGATAAAGTGATTCATTGGGGCACAAAAAGAGATAAAGGACTAGAAAAAGAAAAAAAAAGAAAAAAAAGGTGAGAAGTAGAGGAACCATTGAAAAAACAATTGGCTATATGTCCAAAACATTCTTTGGTGTAATACATGGGTACCTATCTTCTATGGTAAAAACTAAACATATAGAAAAGGAAGGTTAACTGGTAAAGGCTCAAAATAAAGCAGCAATTGCTTTCTGCTTCAACTAAGGTCACTGCTTTGTTGACTTCTTTGTTAACTTGTACCTCGAAGTGGTCTATACATGATTTACACTTTTTATATAATGCATATAAGATGAAAATTGAGATGGGTCTTAATTTATATATATTGTTGAAAAGCTGTGATTTCATTAATACTGGAAACTTATACATCCAAATTCTGACTGGTAAGTTTATCAGTGGGAACAGATACAATGACGAGGCCCTTAATGTCAACACTGTAAGAGTAAACAAGGAGGATTAGCACCCGTTTTTCAACTCTGTTTCACAAAAACCAAATAAACCCCTGCACTGCAAGATATCAGTAAGAGCTGAAAACAGAGCAGTGCATAACCTTGCCCTCCTCGATAGAGCGCAATATACACCCGCAGCATCCATTTGACTCCATCGCTATCTCAGCAGTGAGCTGGTAGCTGCTTTTTCCAACTGAGAAAGGGACATATATCACCTTGATCTCCCACTCCTCGCCCTTATAGCCAGACTTGGCCGTTAGAATAACAGCCAATGCATTCACACCACTCATGAATTGAATTCAGCTCAAAACATAGCAGTGGAACACTGGAACCGAGGAAGCTCCCTCGCCCTTAAACTCACTCACACTTTTTCAAATATCAGCACCTTTTTTTTTATCAAAAAATTAATAAATCTGGCCCGTTAGTCAAGGCAGACACACTCTTATTTCCTACAAGACAATAGTCTTGTATTCACTAACGTCTGGAATGGCCAATTGCGATGGATAACTATCATGTCCCAGGAAAATCAGAGTTGGATTAGTCCCAAGAGCTCTAAGCCCTGCCCCTTAATTGCCTAAGTCTAGCATCTTAAAATAAGCTATGTAAAACAATGACTTTCAATTAGGAATTGATCACTCATTTAGTTTCTATTGTTTGGGGAATTTTTTATTCATTTTGTTTATTGAATTTAAATACCAATGTAGATAGTACTTCGTTTATTTTTGTTGTTTTCGTGAAATAATGCTTCATTTGTAATAGTTATTTTTATTATTTTTTATATAATATTATATTATAAAATAATTTTTAAAGAATATGTATTAATCAAAATTAACAATCTACATTTTGTCTCCTGCATAAGAATTATTTTTTAAAAATAATTCTTATGCATTAATTAAGAATGTAAAAGCTTTATTTTGTATTATAATATATTGTACAGTAACACTTCAAGTAGTAATGTCTCGAGGTAGTACTTAGCTAGTGATACTTTAGGTAATAACACGTTATTGTCTTATGTAATATTTGATTGATCATATGATAATATATTTTTCATAAAATAAGATTCTCAAAATATAAATCATAAAAAGATAGTTAATCTTTTGTCATAAAAACCTTGATTCTATACGCTCTATAAATATAAAACTTATTATAAACAATTTCTTCATTCAAATTTCAAGCAAAACAAAATTCAAAATAACGTATGACTTTTTGTGAATCTTTCTGAGCAAGCAAATTATTATTCTTCTTCTTATAATTTCTTATTTACTCTCTCTCTCTTTTTATTTGCATTTTCTTACTTTTTAAAAAAATTGAATTTATTTTGCTTGTTGCTCTCTGCATGAAAAATTTTCTTTTATCTTTTTATATGATAAAAGAAAATTTTTCATGCATAAGATGAGGTTTTTTAATTAAAAAAGAATTTTTTATGTATATATATATATATGTTCAAGTAGACAAATAAATTGTTTGATTTTAGAAGAAGAACTTAGAACAAGCATTATTTATGTTTCATAAGAAAACTATCTTAGTAAGCAAAAAGAAATTTTTTTTTCTTAAATTAGGGATTTGTTTGAAGTCATGATTATAATTTATAGCTAAAGGCAAATTACAAAAACAAAAGTGTAAAAGACAAGCAAACACAACAAGAATTTTTTTTTTTCATTTAATTGATTTTTTGTCTTAAAACTTATTTTGATGCTCTTGCATGTTTTTGAAATATAATTATTATTTTATTTTAAATTTCTTGCGTGTGTAACCTTTGATAAAAACATTTAACAGGCAAAGAGAAAGAGAAACCACTAGAACAAATAAAAGATACTAAATTTTCTGCATGTCAACTTCTATTTGTAGGCAAGTTAGAATGACAGAAACAAATATAAACCGGCCCACATGTCAGGTTTTTGGTTTTTCTTTTGGTTACTACCAGCACAAGCTGCGGTTCTCTTTTTTTTTTTTTTTATGTATATATAAATATATATATGGGTTTTTCTAATATTAAAGCTCGCAAACTGCGGTTCTTTCCTTTTTTTAATATATGTATTGGGCTTCTGAAGCTCGCGGCTTTGGAGCTCGCGGCAGAGGAAGTGTTCTACTTAAAAGGAGCTCGCGGCACGCTTCAATTGAAAGAAGCCGCCAGCTTCACTCTGAAACAAAACGTGGAGCTTCGACACTTCAAAGACCAAGTTATAAAAGAAATAAAAAATGGGGAGAAACGCAGCTTGCGCTGCTAACAAATAAAAGAAGATACAAAAACGCTGACATGTGCCAGCTTTTATTTTCTTCATTCAGTGCAGCTCTTGTTTGTTTCTTTATTTTAATGTTTCTCTTTTTAATCAAAGAAGGTAAGAGTCAATTAAATAAAAAAAAAGTCTTCCGTGATGTGTTTACATTTTTTTTTCATTTTTACTTTTGTAATTTACTTTCTGCCATAAATTATATATCATGACTTGAAATAAATCTTTGTTTCAAGAAGATTTTTCTTTTCTTTTACTTATCAAGATAATTTTTTTAAACATAAATAACTCTTATTTTGAATTTTTTTTTAAAATCAAATAATTTATCTATTTACTTAAATATATATACATAAATATATCTCTTTTAATAAAAAAACCTCATTTTATGTATGAAAATTTTTCTTTTTTCATATATCAATTAAAAGAAAAATTCATGCAAGGGCAACAAGCAAAAGAAATTCAATAATTTTTTGAAAAGTAAGAAAAATACAAATAAAAAAAGAAGGGAACAAACAAGGAATTATAAGAAGAAGGAAAAAAAAAACTTACTTGCCAAAAAAAAATTGCAAAAGAACAAACCTTAAACTGAATTTTGTTTTACTTAAAATCTGAATGAAAAAAATTGTTCATAATAGCTTCATATTTATAAGGCATATAAAATCAAGATTTTTATGAAAAAAGATTAATTTTTCTTTTACGGTTTATATTTTGAGAATCATATTTTATGAAAAAATATTGTTATATGAGACAGTAATATGTTATTATCTGAACCATTACTGGGTAACTGCTCGAGGCATTGCTATCCAAAGTTTTACTTATGCAGGAGATAAAATATAAATATTTAATTTTAATTAAGACTTATTTTGAATTATTTTATAATATAATATTATACAGAGAATAATGAAGACAACCCTTACAAATGAAACACTACTTCATATAGAACAATTAAAATAAGTGAAGCACTATTTCATATGGAACAAGTAAAATAAGTAGAATGCTACTCCACGTAGAATAACCAATATAAATAAAATAACTACTTTACATAGAATAATCATTTTACACGAATGACAATAAAAATTACCCAAAATAAATAGTAAGGTTCATGAGTTATTTCATTTTGGTATGTTTTGAAGAGTTTGGTTTAATGACTTAAATGTAGAGGTAATTAAGAGATCTTTTTCTTAACTTTTTCTTAGAGTATAAGTGTTTTTTTCTTTTATCTTATTCTCTTATAACTGTTTACGTATAGTTTATTCTCTTATACTTATTCATTGTCATATGCATAAAGTAATTATTTTATACGAAATAACTGTTTTACTTATATTAACTGTTTCACGTTAAATAGTGCTCTATTTATCCAATTTAAAACATTTAAGTGGAACATTGGAACCGAGGAAGCTCCATCGCCCTAAACTCACCTACACTTTTCCAAATATCAGCGCATTCTTTTTATTAAAAATTAATAAATCTGGCCCGTTAGTCAAGGCAGACACACTCTTATTTCCTGCAAGACAATGTTCACTTTAAGTTTGGAATGCCCAATTGCGATGGGTAACTATCATGTGCCCTGGAAAATCAGAGATGGATTGGTCCAAAGAGCCCCTGCCTCTTCATTACCTAAGTCTAGCACCTTAGAATAAGCTATGTAAAGCAATGACTTTCAATTACGTATTGATCACTCATTCAGTTTCTAGTATTTGGGAACATTTTTTATTCATTTTGTTTATTGAATTTAACTACCAATGATTTAAATCAAAGAAGAATAACTACCCAGATGATAATTTGATTGAATGCTTGTGGTTTTAATGTTTGAAATTTGAAGCCACCGTCATTTTCCATAAATCTCAGCAAGCAAGAGGAAAACAATATTTTAATCATAATAAATTTATAAAAGTATATGTACTTGAATATTTAGTTTATTGGTTTGTATGATTTTTTTGGTTTAAAAGGTAAAAAATCCCCCTTCCCTCAATTCTAAAAAAGAAAAAATTATAAAAATACAAATGAAATGAGTTGAACCATTCTCTCTCTTTATATATATATATATATATATATATATATGTATATATTATCAGTACAAATTTCATGGGGAGGTACATATCACACTATGTAATATTCTAGTGTTATTTTTATGTAAAAAAAAAATTGAAATGCTAGCATATATGAACCAAATATGTGTTTCAAAATTTTGATTTAAGTAATCGATACAGCGTTAATATTAACAAATATATTAATTAATTCAAAAATTATTTATAAATATAAGTATTCAATTAGGTTTTGTATATTTCCAAGATCATTGTAGTTGTAGATTTACATTTGTGTGTATACTTTTAACTTTCCAAGAGATCAAGGAACATGGTCAAAGAATTTTAAATTATGGGCTAATAAAATTAATAGAAAATTCACGTTGGTTGAGTCCTTGATTTCAAAGCCATCGATGTACTCCGAACGTTGATAAGCATCATGAAGAGCCAATATTGAACCGAGAGAAAGCAGCCAAGAAGAGGAAGAAAAATATGCTAATGAAAGTCTTGATTGAAAGAAAGTACAATTGTAAGTTCTCAGTTTTGGCAGAAATAACAAGGGTCAGCAGGTATCAAACAAATAATCCTCTCCAAACAGATAAGCAAATCTTTCCGACCTCCATGGATCTTTTTCACCTTTAATTGCATCCCCATCAGCTTGACAAGGCAGTAGCTTAACCCTGCACAAGGGACACGTCCCATGACCCTGATCAACCCACCCATCAACGCACTCCCTGTGATACGCATGGCTACAATTTGCGAGCTCTCTGATTTCTTCACTTGCCTTGATGCATGCCAAGCATATTGCACAAACTACAGATTGCTCCCCAATGCCTTGCAATTTTGATCTGCTGAATTCAACTACTGGGAGCTTGGTCTTTATCAGAGTTGACACCACATGGCTCATGAAGGGTACCGGTACAAGAGCAGGTGAGGGGCGTTCCTCGTCATCTGCTTCCGCGAAACCTTGTTGATCCTGATGATAACTTGAACCATGTTCTAGAAAGAGTTTGGAGAGCTTCTGGACTTGACACCAACCGAAGTCTTTCACCATCAGAACGAATTTAAGATGTGTTAACAGGTGCGTGAGAAGTGTTATAACCATCAGTTGTGAAAATTTAATGGAATTGAAAGGTTGTATCATGATTCAGACACAGATGAAAACTTCAGAATCATGGCGATATGAAAGAAAGGAAGGGGGGGTCACAGTGAGACCTTAATGGGGAACCTGGAAGATTTGAGGATCAGTTATGGAATTATATATACATGAAGAAAATATAAAACATAAAGTAACAAATAATAAACTTAATTAGTACGTTAGGAAAGTCAGAATTCAAGTGAATGACAACAAAGTTTGGTACATATAGTTAATCTTAAACTTTTAGATAATAAAGTACATACAGTTTACCTATTCAACTCCACAAATTTAAGCTCCTCTTTAGCCCCATAAAAACTCGAATTCAAGCCTCGACAGTACCGACACCATGGGCTTTTTCCGTTTGTTTTCATATATTTCCTTCTCTTGCTATGTATCATAGGATCAATCTTACGGTACAAAAAAATGGATATCTGTACTTAGCTGGAAAGATTCTTTGTTTTGGAATTCTAGTTAATCAGACGGCGAGAATTAAAAGCAAGTCGGCAAGATGTTAACAGTGAAACGAAGAATATTCATTTGAAAGACATTAGACACAAAAAGTATATTCCGTCCCTGGCTCTGTCCCTTCTGAATATTTTTCCCTTGGCAGAGAGAGCTCGTAAGTCGGAACCCGTACCCTAACTTAATGGCTAGAGCAGTGTGAACATCAAGAGCATGCTTGTACATACATGTTTAAACAATACATTCTGCAAAGGTCAACTGTTCTAATAACTGCAAAATAATCTCCATTTGTTTACCAGTTTCTACTAAATTACGATAACGTGGAAATTAGACAACCATCCCAGGTAATTAAACTCCCATAGGTTTGACTTGTAACCTTGTCTTTGCCTTGTGACAGTTACATTCACGGTATAAAACTGACAATTATCCTATTAATGGTTTAGATGATGTTTTAGTATACGTCCAATAAGAGCACTAAATTAGGATAATATATAATGAAGTTTCTCACAATAAATGTAAATAGTAAATGTTTTACTGCTTAAGAAATGATAGATCAATATAGAAAAAAAAATCATAAAACGTTATCATTTTGATTTTAATCTTTGTATGTTCCATTAATTAATGATTTAAAATTAAACTTTTATTAAAAAATTAAATAAACTAATCCCATTTTAACAACATTAATTCTACTAATCATTGAGCTTAACAAGAATTAGGTTTTACTGGCATATTTTAACTTTGGCACATTTCTATGCCGTTTCTCTTTCATATAAATTGAACTCTAATGTATATACTTATCCTGCTTCCTCTTGACAAAAAATACCACTCGTCATTCAAAAAATTAAATGGTCAAGTTCAAATTCACCGATGGTAACATCCAATAATCTGTTACATTCAAAGATTGAAGAAACATTCATTAAATGTCAATACCTATTATTTAATGGTTTATTAAGCTTTTATTTTATTAATAAAAATTCACTGTTTTTCAAAAAAAAATGAAGAAACAGAAAAAAATAAAACAAAATCCGTGAGGTTGGTCCACATGCTGGGCTTAATGGTGGTCCTTAATTACTTGGTGTTTAACTACCGTTGACCCACACACAAGTCATTATCTAATTAAAAATGCTGGTGAGTGCCCACATTGTTTGGGCTTTGCTCATAGTGGGAGGAGCCCAGAACTTTGGACACGCTGTCCAAGTGTTAAGCCTATACTTAATGATCTTAACAGCTCTAGCTTGGTCTTTATCACGGATGATAGGCTATACATTTTAATCAAAATTTTGTCACATTAATTAGCTTGTTTGTTTGTGATTATTGCAAAAGGTAATCATCCACAGTTTGTGGAAGGGATACAACATGTACTTAATTACTAATCATCTTTACAGATCCCTAAAAAGAGTTTAAATTCTCCTCATCGATTTGATTATTAAAAAAAGAAAAAGGATCATACTTATTTCGTGGCAGACCAATTGCAGCAAAGTCATTTAGCAAGGAACACGTGATTATTACAACTAGATACTCCTTGGAAACTTTTTGTCCACCATTGAGCATGATCACTTATTAAAGTTACTACTATTTTTATACACTAGAACTACATGTTCTTGTTGAAGCTGTTACAACTTCTCCACAGCTATTAGATCTCTATCATAAAATGAAGCTGGTACAAGACAAAACACCCGAAAGATCCTCCTTCCTTTGGCTGAAGAATTTCTAAAACTTACAGTAGTTGTAGTTATTATGAATTGTTTGCCTTTTTTTTTTTGTACCACTATCAATTATGAGTCATCCCCATGTGCAAATTCCATAAAAGATTGAATGAATGAATGATTGAAAAAGGGTTTGTGTACTTCTCTTACCATTCATAACAACAAGTTCATGTTTTTAGTCTTTGGGTTGACTGGAATTTGGAATGTAAGTTTAGTTAGGTTCGGTCTTCTGCTGGTGGTGTAGGAAAGTCTGGTGAGGGTAATGTTGTAATATGACAGATGGGTGCCTAGCGGTCGTCGACTACATGTCTCGGAAATTGTCCATTTCTTATTTGCTGGTTGCCTATAAAGAATCCTACTCCCGAAGCCAGGGGCTTCAACTTCAACAGAGGCACAAGCTTGGCATAACTTCTATATCAAATTATCACCTCAGTATAAAAGGTAGTTCTAGTAGTACTCTGCTATTTTTTTTCCCCAAAATCTGTACTTTTAACTGTATTTAGTCTTTCTCCTTCATATAATAGCATTTCAATACTTATGGGGTTTGCTGTTCTACCTGGTTATGGCCATTTGGGTTAGTTTTATCCTTGCATTCGACAGACCCATTTCAAAATATTTAATAGTCATCATTTCTTAATATACTTTCTCTTTCTATTAGAATATAGCTTTGATTTGTGGTTGCATGGTAGTTCTCATATTTCTGCATGCTTAATTCCCTTTGTCTATGGTGTCGAAATAGATTAAAACTGCTTTTTTAGTGTGTATCCCATGTTTGATTCAATTTTTGAAGAGAAATACAAAAGAGCTGCCCAAGAATGTGATGCAAGATTTGTTGGTTTTTTGCGTGAAGCAAGTTCTCCCTGTACTTTGGCTTAATCAATAAAATACCTCCAGGTTACAGATGATTACCAGATATAAGACTAATTGTTATGGTTAGCTTTAAAATAAACAGCTTTTACAAGTTATTTTGATTGCCGGTGACAGCATCATTCATCACTTGCCTTGGCAAATGGTAATCGTTGAGGATGCTGGGTTTTGCTGCGGTTAGTTTGTGACCTTTTCACCCGCCATTCTCCGTGCCAGATATCTTTTGTCTTTAAATATTCGATAATCCATAGCTGCTAGACATTTAGCTCCTTGCAAGGTAACATTCTTGCTGTTGCTTATCTCCCTAATCTATATGTATGTTTGAGTAATGGATTTATAGGCATCGCTAGCATCCTGATGTTGAACTTTTTATCTGTTAATTCTTCTATTTATAGCTACAAACTTTTCAGAAACTTTGAGATTAGTGAGTTTCTGCTTAATTCTTATAAATAATTTTTTTTTCTTTCAATTTGTTTGTAGCTCTATAGGGCAGTTATTCTGTTGTGTACCCATTTTCAAAAAATTACTGGAATAATCATTCTCCTGTTTGATGCACTTCTATATGATGCTGCAATCTAGGGAAGTTGTTTTGTGGTTATAGAGAAGAAAGTAGTTGCATATGAGGAAGTTTTTCATTGGCTGAAAGTCAATGTTTCAGCAACAGGACACTCATTTTTTGGCTCATGGTTTTTGTCTGTGATATTTATGATTTCAACTTCTTACGTTCTTTTCTATCAGTCCCTCTGAGGCATCTATTCTAGGTTCAAAATAATTACTCTGGTTCCTTGTTTTCCTAGTTTGTTAATTTTTACATGGAATTTGTCTTTTGAGGCCAATACGATGAGTTCTCTTCTCAATGGTTTCTTGGAATTACCAGTTGAGCTACAGTTGCTTGTGTTCAACCTTTTTTAATTACTCGAATGGTAACCCTAGTTGGAAACTAAACTGAGCCCAGAACTGCTGCACATCATGTAATCTGGCTAGAAAAACTAGGCAAGTGGAAGAGAATGCGTCTGCATAGAGATTAATGAGATAATTCCGTATATGTAAAGGACAATTCATTTACTTATGGGAGCTTTTGGATACTTTTTGAGTTTCCTTTAGAGTGGCAGTGATTATTGGATTTTGATGGGTGCTTAATCTAGGCAGTTTGTATGATGTTTGGCAAGCATATATCCCACTGCTAGTTTGATCTGTTGCTTCAAAGATTAGGAAACAAGCACAACATCACAAGTTTATTTTGCTAATGCTTTCTTCATTGCATAGTTTTAGTTTACGCACTTAACAGTTAACACCACCTACTGTGTCTTGAGCCTACTGCTTGTGCCTGGTTAGTGTAAATGATGCTGTGTTTCAAAGACATCATGTGCATTCGGCTCTGTCCTGCATTTACAGTGTAATTTCCCAAGGCTTTTTGGATGAGTTCGGTTCTATAGTTGTCAGTACTGTACTGAAGTGTCAATGCTGATATGTTATACAAATGAAGAAAGGAGACCATTTGTTTAAAATTTCATTTTGCTTTAAGAAAGTTCTTGAAGTATTTATGAGTCTTGCTGATTATGCGACTCTCAAAAGTTATCTATTGCTGATGTTTGTGTTGTTATATGCTTTAATGCTTTTTCCCCCTCTAATTCTTTATTGTTAGTTATCAAATAATTAGAAAAATAAATAAGTAGATTAGGTTCTTTTACCCTTTGTGATGCATAAAATTGTGAACGTGTGTAGATGTTGGTTCTCATAGTGTTTTCCTGAGCAAAAGACAAAACTTTTGAGGCTTAAATAAGAGTATGTTGCCATAAAGTTAGTTGCAGATATGTTTTCTGGTTCTACATGATTACATGTCTCATTTAGAAAAGTTGTGGTTATGGTATTGATAATCCGTTTATAATTGCCATCAATTTTCAGATGGATTTGCAAAATCACACGCAATTTGTTGAAATAAGCGTGGATGCTGCTGATGAGGAAAGGAGTGTTGGAGGGAGTAAGATTTGTGGGGAAACGCCTTGCGGATTTTCGGATGCTGGCAATAACTCTAAAGATGCTGAAGAGCGATCAGCTTCCATGCGCAAGCTCTTCATTGCGGTGGCACTTTGCATCATCTTCATGAGTGTAGAAGTAGTGGGTGGCATCAAAGCCAATAGTCTAGCTATATTAACTGATGCAGCACATTTGCTGTCAGATGTTGCAGCTTTTGCCATCTCCTTGTTCTCATTATGGGCTGCTGGCTGGGAAGCCACTCCCCGTCAATCTTATGGATTTTTGAGGATTGAGATTCTCGGGGCCTTAGTCTCCATCCAGATGATATGGTTGCTTGCAGGAATTTTAGTATATGAAGCCATTGTTAGACTCATTAATAACACAGGTGAGGTGAATGGGTTTCTAATGTTCCTTGTTGCTACTTTCGGACTAGTGGTTAATGTCATCATGGCTCTCTTATTGGGCCATGACCATGGCCATAGCCATGGTGATCACGGTCATGGTGGTGGTCACAGTCATGGAGTGAGCATTACCACACGCCATCATCATGAGGGACACTCCACAGGAGAACACCACCACCATCATCATGAGGAGCACTCCAAAACTGAGCAACACCATCAAAGTGATGATGCAGAACATACCACAGATGAGCACCACCATGCTCATGAAGATCAGTCGGAGCCGCTGCTCGATAAACCAAAACGAAGGAATATAAATGTCCAGGGTGCTTATCTTCATGTGCTGGGGGATTCCATTCAAAGTATTGGAGTGATGATTGGGGGTGCAATCATATGGTATAAGCCCAAATGGAAGATAGTTGATCTGATTTGCACACTAGTATTTTCAGTTGTTGTTTTGGGGACTACGATAAAAATGTTGCGGAGCATACTTGAAGTGCTGATGGAGAGTACACCAAGAGAGATTGATGCAACAAAGCTGGAAAGGGGGCTGTTGGAGATGGGCGATGTGGTGGCCATTCACGAGCTGCATATATGGGCCATTACTGTGGGGAAGGTCCTGTTGGCTTGCCATGTCAAAATCAGGCCAGAAGCAGATGCAGACAAGGTTTTAGACAATGTAATAGAATACATCAGAAGGGAGTATAATATCAGTCATGTTACGATACAGGTAGAGCGTTAATCGAAGTGCAGAATTTTAGAACTTGCTTGGGGCCTCAGTATCTTCTCTTTGAAATCTTTCTATATCCAAAGTACTAAACTTGACATATATAGGAGGCATAAAGCTGATATTTATCTTAATTAGCACATGATTTTCTGCTTAGTGGTCCATATCCAAGATTTAAATCAGTAGGTATCCTGTAAATTTCATTTGTCGAATCATCTCTTTTGGTCAGTTTCATGTTTATTACCATTTCAGTTCAATAGATGTATGCATTTTTCTTCTTAAGGGAAAAGTTTTCATCATACCGTGAAAGAAAATTAGCACCGTGAAAGAAAATTAGCAATCTTTACCAACACAGGTTGCATATCAACTGTCTCCAATAATTGGGGTCTACCACCAATTGAATTTTTGCGTCACAGGGATCATATGGTATAGGGGTAAGCACCTGTCCGTGAACACCTATTCAGTTACTATGAACAGATTGACATGTGATGTTGGGAGGTGGGGGCACCGGCATCGTCTCCCTCTGGTTGCATAACCTTGAGATTTCCCTCATACCCTTGCCCTTTTTTTCCTCTGAAATGCGTCCGACACCCCCCTCACATCTAAAACCTGTTGTGGTTAGTGGTGAAAGAGCTGAAGAAACCAGTTAAGTATAGGAAAGGAAGATGAAATTCAACTTTTGAGAAGGGGATAAGGTTCCTTGAAATCCTGGGGCTTCGGTTTAACCATGAAGATATACAAAGAGTACTATTTTATGAGGTTAATGCCAGCTTGGCAGGCAGTGGTAAATTTTTTACAGTTATTATTATTTTCTTTTGAAGTGACTCTGTGTGGGCATAATCTAAGAACTACAGGACGAGACCAAAATTTGCAGTTTTCTTGAGAAAGAGAATGCCTCTGGTTGTGTGGCTAAAGGTGTGCAAAATAGTTTCATAGGTGGAAAATGGGTACGCCCTAGTTCAAATGGATAAGATTCTTAGGACATTATCAAATGAATTTGGTGTTCTCAATACTCAAGCTCCGATTTTATCAGATTTGATTTTGTCTAATTCCGTAACCAGCGTTTCTTATCTCTGCTTTTTGGTGGTCTATGAAGATGTGAAAATGAACACATTTAGTCACATACATATCTTGCCATTCATGAACAATTGGAGGGACGTAGAAAGAAGGGAGTTTGCCACATGCAAGATGACCACTCGGAAGAAAAATTTTTAATAAAAATTGATTGAATGGGAAAAAAGTCGCCTTATAAGACGGGGTTGGCGTTTGTACAACAGCTGACAGTTTTGGGGTTTTGATAGCAACCCGAAAAATTATTACTCAAAAGTCTGGCAGTCAAGATTGTTGTCTTTGATAGGCTTCTGAAAGATTTGAGTCAGAGTTACGCCTTGATTATTAGGTAAGTCCTGTGGAGCTCTAAATGCTGGGAGGTGCAATCTTCTTAGTACTATTTCTTAAATGGAGAGGAAGATATCAAAACCTTCCAAGTTTCTGGAGCGTTACTAGGCTGTGCAGCTACCGCAGAGGAAGTGCTTTATATATGACAGTGGAGGCAAGAGATTTGGGACTGTCAAAACAGAGGAAGCAAGAAGATTATTTTCCATACAACTTTCTACATAGAAGGGCCTTCTAATGGGGTAACCGGCTTAGAAAATAGGAGCAACGTCGCAGAGTATTACCATGGAGACTCTTTTAAAATTTACCAGTGTAGTATTACCATGACAAGATTGATCAAGAAACCAGTACAAACTATGTGAGCCCCCCGAAATCATTACCGCTCATTGGTACATTTAAATCTTAACCATACTCAAGAAGGACTCTTCGTTGGTTCAATAGGAACTTGAAGCAAAAGACAGATCCAAAATTGAATTTCCTTATGCTCCCCCTTGAAGACAAATTTTCTGTCCTTGAGACAATTAATGTAGAATATGCTCACAGCTCGTGGAAGCTGTTTTTTCAACTTCTGAGGCTGAGAAAATGGCAACACCCCGAAATGTTGCTTGGGTCACCAAGGATGCTCGTCCTGTAATAAAAATAATGAGTTAGTGGATTTAGTGTGAGTTTAACCACATTGAAAATCAATCTCTTTCGCTGTTATGTCTCAATCTGACCCCTTGAATTTGTATAAGTAACAGCATGCAGTAGGTGATAACATTTCCTCTCTTTTTCTTTTGGAACCCGAATTAGATATTGAGTTTGAAAGGAAATCAATTTAATCATTTAAGCATTTGAGTTAGGGATGCATGTAGAGCTGAATTGGCATAATCTTCTCCTGTCCTCATTACCAGAACCAGAAGGATTGTGGAATAAATTTGAAGGGTCACTATTACCACCCTGGAGGCAAAGCAAGTCTTAATTGTACCATGTGCAGCGGAAAATGAAGGTTGTATCTTATATGCGTAGCAGTTAAAGGGCGGATACCTTGGATGGATTTAAAGAAAAGAAAAAAGAAATTGGAGAATGGCGGAGATGCGCTATAAGGGAAATGACCCATCATCAGACGGATGACACAATCCATAGGAGGACTTTCCAAAGCTTTTCTTTGGTGTACGCTTGAAAGGGGAGTCCCCACAACTGCCTGTCCCCGCTGCTGGACAAAAACTGCCACCGCCAATAATGCTTCGGACCTTGTAAGCCAGACAACCTCCCTCCTCTCTCTCCTCTCTGCTAAGTTTCACCAACTCTCCCAGTCCCAAATACAATCCTGTATATCTTCTCGCTCTCACTTGGGTATTTTCCACCCTTCGTTCCTCACCGCATCTGTTTCTCGTTTCCATTTTATTCACCATTGTTTTACCCCAGCTTCAAGTTGCATTTCTACTCTGCTGACTTTTTCCTCTTTCTAGTTCTCTCCTTCTTTCTTTCTGTAAGAGTTCTTCAAAGCATTTAATATTATTCCATTTCGGAGTGTTAGCAGCACCAGAAACTAAGGAATAAATTGTGTTTCTGTATGTGGTCTTCATCGACTTCTTTGGAGGTTACATTTATTACTTGTATTGTTTTGTTAGCATCACTATGGAATGTTGGTAACTAAGACAGAGAGAGAGAGAGCGAGATACAGAACGAGAAAGAGACAGAATTTAAGGCATCACTTCAACTACTTACTACTACTAAGCTGTTATGGAGAGGCTCCAAGGACCAATTAATCCTTGTGTATGTTACTTTGCTTACTTTAGTACTTCTGTTTCTTTTACACCCCCTCTTTTCTTGAATCCCGTTTCTAGAATCAAGATATAGACTGCATTTACTCCTCCAAAAATGCTTGCATTCAATGCAGCGAGTTTTTTTGTTTTGCTGGAAATTACTAGTATCTGCTACTGCCATACTGCTGCTCCTTTCTCTTTTAACATTCTATTCTCATTCTGCTTTCATTCTCTCTTCTCTGCTGAGACTAAACCCCGAGCCCCCCACCCTATTAGCAACAGTATTTTTTCCAAATATCTTTTGAGGATTATTATGTGAAACCCAGTTAAGGAGTTTTCTTATTTTCTTTCATTTCTTCACCTTATCTTTTTTTTTTTTTGTTTTCTCCCTTCAAATTATTCCTTGCAGTTCTTAGAAGAGCATTTGGAAGTGGAATGCTTAGAAGAAGGATTTGTTAACTCACAGAGTTTAAGGTTTGGGGAGGAAGAAGAAGAAGCACACTTTTCAATACCAAGCTTAGAAGACAAAATGCCATTCCTTCAGATGCTTCAAAGTGTGCAATCCCCTCAACTTTTTGCCTTCAAAGAACCCAACTTTCAGACACTTTTGAGACTGCAACACTTGAAGAAGCCTTGGGAGATAAACAACAACCCTTTCATCCCGGAAATGGAAACCCAAATTCAAGCCCTAGAGCTTGAAAGCTGTGTCACCCATGAAATATTTGACTTACAGTCACCAGTCAAATCTGAGACCCAAGACCTTAAAAAAAACCCACGTTCAATTTCATGCTTTGAAGTTGTTAGCGCCGAGTCCAACCAAGACCAACCAAAGTCAGCAACAGCGGACAATTGTAGTAGAGAAGGCAACTCTGGCTCTTCACCTCCGAAAAACTTCACAAAATCCCCTCCCATCACTAGAGAACGAAGAAAGCGAAAACGAACAAGGCCAGCCAAGAACAAAGAAGAAGTTGAGAGCCAACGCATGACCCACATTGCAGTTGAACGCAACCGTAGACGTCAAATGAACGATTATCTCAATTCTCTCCGCTCTCTCATGCCTCCGTCTTATATCCAAAGAGTAAATCAATCTAATCCCGGCAATTTTTTAATCCCACAGTTACCTTGTGTAGCTCTAGTTTCTCAAACAAACATTCATGTTTTGTTTTTGGTTTCACAGGGTGACCAAGCGTCTATTATTGGGGGTGCAATTGACTTTGTTAAGGAACTAGAGCAACTTCTACAATCCCTGGAAGCGCAAAAGAGAATGAGAAGAATTGAAGAAAGCAGCAATAGTAATAAATCAGTGGCAAAGTCCGCGATGGAAATTTCACAGTCGGAGACCGGAGTTGGATCTGAAGATGCGAATTGCGGTGAGGAAGTCAAGGCCGAAAGCAAGTCAGGTGTAGCTGAAATAGAGGTTAATGTAATACACAACCATGTCAACTTAAAGATTCAGTGTTCAAGAAGACCTGGTCAGTTGTTACAAGCCATTGTCACGCTGGAAAGTCTTAGATTAACAGTTTTGCATCTCAACATTACCTCTTCTCAAGCTTCTATTCTTTACTCCTTCAATCTCAAGGTAATATTAATTTTTTTTTCTGTTTCCTTTTTGTTTTTAACTTGGGTCTCGACTCTCCAAGGAGTCCTGGCTCAAACCCTAGTTCCAAAATTTCTAAACGTTTGTCTTGTTTTTTTGTTGGTTTTGTTTTGTTTTTTTGTGGGTTGTGTTGGGAATGGTAATGGCAGATGGAGGACGATTGCAAGTTAAGATCAGCGGATGAGATAGCAGCAGCAGTTCATCAAATATTCAGCTAAATTCAAACGGTAAAAAAAAAAAGATTTGGTCATCAGGCAGCTGACTTGATTCCTGAAGGGAATAGTGGGGTAGAAAAAGAGAAGACCAAGGAAAAGGTGAAAAAAGGAAAAGGTACAAAACCAGAAAAAAGAGAGGTCAGAATGGGCTTTTGGGTTTAGAAGAAAGGAAACAGAGGGCACCTTCCACTGTGTCCATTCAAAGCAATGTTTTGTACCACAAGACAATTCAGGACAGGGCCCTTGATGTTTACAGCTTAACTTAAGAAACTTCCCCTGTTTATGACTAGTTGTATTAGAATGATAAATATGTATATGTAATTCTTG